TACAAGTGCCCAAACTCTGCTGTCTGTCTATGAACTGCACTTGCTGCCACGTCTACAGACTAAGCAACAGTAAATGCTCTGAATAACACAACGTGAAGGGGAACTACCTCCCAAATAGCACCTAGACTGAGGAGGCAGCCGTGTCCTCACACCTGCTTTAATGCGAGGGATGGAGATGTATCTCATTATACTATTCTCTGGAAAATATTTATGAAAGGAGTTGAGATTTAAATTTCTCCACTTTTCAGTTTCTTGAATCTGGCTTTAGGGTAGCAATTAAATTGAGTCACAGGCACTAAGTATGAGATGACCTCAAACAAACCTTCCAAATGTTGTACTTTCTTTTTCTTGAAACCTACCAGTTCCAGGAGACTAATTTAATTCCATGCCTCTACATTTCCAACAAATAATTCTGATCATTTGACTGAAACTGGAGAGAAATACTGGCAAGCCTGAACTCTGGCACAACATATAAAGCCAATGAAAAGAGAGCAGCATTCTCCAAAAATTAATTCCTCATATTCAAGCTTGAATAGAAAATGGTGAAGGAGTTAACTCTTTCAAAGCAGGTTAGCAAACTATCTACACAAATAACATTACTTTATAAACGACTGACTCGATAATACCTCCAGGTCATAGCACAAAATCATTACTTTCTGTTTGGGTGAATTCTCAAAAGGGTTTTACGGCCATTAAAATTATAAAAAGAGAGATTTCTGTTTGACTCTCCAGTTGGATCTGAAACCTTAAGACAGTCTTAAGCTATAACATATTTGTAATACCAATTACTACTACAACGTTTTAGTAGAATATTGCTTAGTTCAATGATATTAAATCTGTTATGAAAAAAGTTAGCGAGCAAATTGACATGACTCTTTAAGTTTCTGGTTTTCATGTCTCTATTCCCTATCCCACCAATTTTATGAAAGATTTAACATTTTCTTCAAAATATAAATCCTGTAAGATATATGCCTTGAAAGATATTCAAGTTCAGAAGTGTAGACAATCAACTGCGTGTAACCGCCAGACAAGCAGCCTCTTACAGTTTTGAACAGTCAGAGGCAGACGGACAACTCAGACGCCTGGGTCTCCAACTGCAAGCCCATCTCACCAGACTCCTGTGGGCTCCGTCAGCCCTTCTCACAGGTGCAGGGCGCCTGCTTTCAGCAGCAGGGAGAGAGCTGATCTATAAGCCACAAGAACATCTTCTCACTTTCCATAAACAGGTTATAGAACTAATGACAATTGCAGCACATCAACTCCGCACATGAAACCTGCTCTGATATTGGAGACTAATGGAATCCAAATGTGTGGAAAGTCAAGTCATTTTCAACAGAGCTAATTAGACAGATGGATCAGATAACAACTTGGAACTGAACCTGACAGAATCATTTCTAATCAAAGACAGTAAGTGCTAAATGTTAAATTTTGCAACGAACAAGGAAAATATTGAATTTTAGTGTATTACCAGAACGATTAAAAAATAGTACTTTATTTACAAAAATGTTTAAATATATCTTACTTGAAGAAATTACAAAGACCCATAAAAGCTACCGTATGTTGTACTTTAAATAAATGAAAAAGACTATTAGGAAATGTAAATAGCATGAAAGACAATATGAAATTTGCATTTAATCTTATTCATATTCATCTACCTACTCAGAGAATTTGCTTCCATTTACAACATTTTATCCTCAAGAAGACACATACAAAAGCACTGAAGAAAGCAGACTTGTTACACCTTTACACTGTTGAAACTATTGGTGTTCACTGCTATGAGACTTATCATCTCTAAAGCAAGGATAAAGGATGACTAACACAGAAAAGTAAAACTTTTCATGAGCTAATGGATTCAATCTCACCGGCAAAGCACTACCGACTGTATTCTCATACAGTACAACTGAAAGTGAAAAAAGTAAAAGGATACACTTGAGGTAAAACGACAAAGATGGAAAAGTGTCTTCTGAGTCACTTTCTTCCGTCTCAATTCCTTTAGTAGGTAAAGGAAGGACATACACAGGCATAGAAGGAAACGTGGAGAGCAGAAGGAACACTGCAGTTACTGCCGTCCCGATGACAGAGAACTTCTTCAGCTGTGGCTGACAGAGTCCGCTGAATGGCTGGGAGCGCCAGACCATGGTGCCACCAATTTTCAGGATGTAGAGCAAATCTGTTCGCAGCACAGCTATGTCCGTGAAGACCCTATTCTACCTCTGGTACTTCTGGACATTCCTTTAACACTCTACCCTATCTTCATAGTGCAAACTCCTTCCTTTCTTCTGACCCAAGTACCCTAAATGAATAGTGAATAATTTTCAGACCTTTAGTTATTTTTCAGTTAGTGTGAATGTTGGTTTAATATTTCATTCCTGTTTTTTTTTTTTGAGGAAGATTCACCCTGAGCTAACTACTGCCAGTCCTTCTCTTCTTTTTACTGAGGAAGCCTGGCCCTGAGCTAACATCTGTGCCCATCTTCCTCTACTTTATGCATGGGACGCCTACCACAGCATGGCATGCCAAGCAGTGCCATGTCCACACCTGGGATCCGAACCGGCAAACCCTGGGCCACGGAGAAGTGGAACGTGTGAATTTAACCACTGTGCCACTGGGCCAGCCCCTCACTCCTGTTTTTTGTTTTTTTTTTTTAAGTACTTATATGATCTCTAAGATTTCTGTGACAGCCAGCCTCAAAGATGATCCCCAATGACTCCTGACTCCTGGGATTCACATTCTTGTGCAGTCTCCTCCCACACTGAATAGAGTTAATAGCTGACCTCTGTATCCAAAAGGATACTGCAGAAATAATGGTGCGTGGTTCCTGAGGCTAGGTCATAAAAGGCATTGCAGCTTCCACCCTGCTTTGTCCTGTCTCTTAGATTGCTCACTTGAGAGAAGGCAACTACTACGTTGTGAGGACAGTCCAGAGGACTGTGGAGAGCCCTCAAGGTAGGGAGGAACAAAAGCCTCCTGCCAACAACTGGCACAAGATGAGTGAGCTTACCTTAAACACAGATCATCCAGCCCTAGCCAAGCTTTGAGAGGACTACAGCCCCAGCTGATATACTGACTGTGACCTCATGATATCCTGAGCTAAAACCACCCAGCTAAGCCATTCCTGAATTCCTGACCCAGAGAAACTGAATGAAATGATAAATGTTTATTGTTGTTTTAAGCTCCTGTGTTGAGGTAACTTGTTAAGCAGCAATAACTAATTCATACTGTTTCTTCTTATAGAAACAGAGAAATATAAACAAGTACGTCACTAGATCAAGCATCTTCATTAACAACATAGTACTGTTGCTATATGAGGGATTCACAACTTAAGCCAAGTAACTAACTCAACAGGCTTTTAAAAAGAATTGAAGTACAATTTATACGTGTGAAAAGCACACACCTTAAGTGTCTATTTCAGTGAATTTTGACAAGTTTTGCAAGAACATGTACCACGTAACTAATACCCTGATCAAGAAGTAAAAGATTTCAATTACCTCTAGGCTATTTTGGATCAGTTCTTGTATTATCCTCTCTCCATACCAGAGACAAGCACTGTTTTTATATCTATCATCACAGATGAGTTTTGATCGTTCTAGAACTTTACAAAAATAGAAGAATATACTCTTTGTGTCTGGCTTCTTTTGCTCAGCATAATATTTTTAAGGGTCATCATGTTGTCCTTGTTTTACAGATAAGGAAAAGGATTAAGAGACTGTCTAAGGCTGGCTAGCTGGTTAGTGGCTTTTTCATCACACATACTGCACTGTAAATCTTTATACAAATTTAACCCCGGCTGAATTAAAAATAAAGTTTTTTTTCATCGATAAAGATGTGGCTACAATTGGCTTTAATTTAAATGTCAACTAGCTTTCACAGAGAATTTGTTTTAGCATCAGTGGTCTATAAATTAAAGTATACATTTAAACAAGTGAGAAAACAGTGATATGTTCTTAAAAAAAATAAAATCAAAGATTTGTGAAAGGCAAAAATTATAATTATAAAAAGATATTCACTAAATAAGGTTAAGCTATTTCTAAATATCTAGGATGGTCACTAGCTATGGTTAGATTAGAGTTTTCTCAAGAAGCAAGAAAGGCAAGGGTACCCTTGATACCTGCATCTTCACTTCAGAGCCACCTAAAAGTAAATAATTTAAAGTACCAAGGAACGTACATTTACTCAATTAATTTGTTTTGCTTCTATTAAATTACTACCATTTAATTTAGTAAGATACACATTTTTTTCCTCCCTTGAAAAAGGTTTATTTTCATCTATAATATAGCAGTGATTGAAAAGGACTAATAAGAATATTTCTTCAACTAGGATGGATAATTACAATGTGATAAAGACTCATGGCCAGTGTTTTTCACTGGTTTATGATAAGTTACTTTATGCATTAAAGGAATATTTTTCATGATTTTAAGATAATTTAGGAAACTCTGTGAAGACGTTCATTTCACAGTATATTTGTACTAAAGTTCAGACCACACTCTCTCCTTGCCAAGAATGCCTGAGATGGAAGGCAAATCTACTGAGTCATGGAGATAACTGCGCCTACCCCGCACCACTGGGTCCCACCCAGGCCGCGATTATGACTTCTCTATTCCGCACACGGCCTTCACTGCACATGGCGCCTGTGCCCTGGGAATACCCAGATCCTGTGAGAAGCGGCCATGCACTCCTCTCAGGAAAATACTCTTGATCTCAGCTACAGAAAGGCTCACTTAGTACTGAAAAGATCTCAAATTTTCACATGTATCCTCTTCAGGAATTTCTTGGTCAAGTACTTCAGAGAACACCTCCCTCACAAAAGCTGAACACTGGACAACGTCAACGTTGAATTTCCACGAGGCCTGTGAATTAAATTTCCCAAACGAAAATTTGCACCTGGATTTTATCATTAAACAAGTAACAGAAGAAACCAAAACTCTGCAGTTTCTAGTTAAAATGCCTTTTTGTTCGCCAGTTTCTGCTTTTCATTTAATCGTGCTGACATTACACAGTACCTCACGGGTTTCCTTTCTCGAAGCAAGTCTTCTAGACTCCGTTCACAGTGCTCAGCCACCACCACCAGTCTCTCTGAGTAAAACAAAGCAAATCCACTTTATATTTGATTAATACACATTTTAATAACAAAATAAGATACCCCTCTAAAGATATTAACATATAGTACACATGATAATTTAAAAGAACTTTTCAAACTCTATATTAACTACACAATTACCATATATGTAGAGTAACAGGATAAACGTGTAATAAAACAATACATGAAACAATTTCTTTTCATCTTGTGTTTTTCACTAGTTTCTCCCATGTGCATCAGGAAAAACAGATGGAAAGGTTTACCTTCAGAAAAAAGAAGCAATCCTTCTTCTGACACAGACTAGGAGAAAGGAAAGCTTGGACGAAGATATAAAGAAATTCTGAAGTGAAGAGGAAATTGGGAGCTAGGGACAAATTGTCTTGACAGTCTGGTTCAAACACAAGGTCTTTGAAATTGAGTTCAGAAACTTGACAAAAGTAGAAATGTTCTGAATCATGACTATGGAGAAAAAGCAGAAAATTGTTTTGGGACTGTTTGTAACATCATGGGGCCTCCTGAGACTAAGTAACAATACAAAATTTTGGTGGGCACAATCAATATTATGACATAATTTTTATTTTACAACAGATCAACTGTCTAAGAATAAGACAGTACAGTTCCAAGGGTCAGGCCACACATTGTTTTCCTCATCAGTTATCCCTAGTGACTAACACATTTTCTGACATGGTAGCAGATCAATACTTTTCTAATGAATGAATGTAAGAGGAACGAGAAAAAGTACAACTGGGCTTACAAACAGTTGGGGATTTGATAAGGTTATTTTAGGAGAGACCAAAGGTTTAAAAGAAATTGGGGTACTTTCAGTATCTGTGCAAAATGGGTTCTAAGTTAGATAAGGAAGAAGTTAATACAAAACACAGATGCCAGACTAAGACAAGATAAGGAGGTAAAGGTGCAAAGAGATTGGGAATAGTGAGAACTACAAAGAGATTTAGTGGAAGTGAAAAGTAGCTGAAGTAGAAAAATGAGATGGCAGAAGATGGGCAGGGAGAAGTTAAGGATAGGAGGTCCAGGAAAAGGAGAAGCTGCCAGTAAGGATGGGCTCAAGGTGCGGTCTTGCCTAGAGGAGAGATGAAAGCCGATGTTAGACAGGCAACCACGTGAGCTGGGAGGGCAGGAGACTGAAGGACTCCTAGCGATCTCAACAGGAATCCAAAGAAAATCAAATTTGAAAGAACATTTAATGAGAAGGAGAAGGAAAAAGAGAGTAAGAAAGAAAATCATGAGATAAAAAGTCTAGCTCTTCAATTCGATACAGAAAAGAGCATGCAAAATTAACTCCAAGCACATTAGTACCACTGTGAAGTTCTGGCAGGAAAAAGCAAACCACTCTCAGGAAAACAAATGGGAGCTGCCACATTGCTCTGCACCTTGCCTTTCTGTCAGTTTTCCTTACACCTGTCTGGCTACCTCTCCTCAGTCTCCTCTACACTGGCATCTTGTCGACCCAAATTTCAATGCTTCTAGTTCTTCCATCTTTCATTCAGGGTCTTCATACTGTGTTTTCTGCTCATTTACCCCCAAGGCTAAAAATTCTCAGATTTTATCTGAAGCTCAGAACTCTCTTGTGAACTCCAGGCTTTAAAGACAACGTCCCACTTTAATAGAAAGTCACCTCAAACTCAAAAGAACCCAAAAATAACTTATACTTTGCTCCTTAAGCCTGTTCCTCTTACTACAATTTCAGTAAATGGTATCACTATCCTGCCAGCTGTTCCAGCTGGAAACTTAGGAGTAATCTCCTTTTCTCAAATCAAACAAAAAGTCCTGCTATTTCTATCTTTCAAATGTTTCCAGAATTTGCACAGTTCACTCCATCTGCCATCTGGGTTCAAGCCAGCATCCTCTCTTATTAGATTACTGCAACAATCTCTTAACTGGTCTTCTCACATTAATTATTACCCTCTAACATATTTTCATACTAAAGTCTAAGTGATGTAATAGTAATAAATAAATCTGAATATGTAACTCCCTCTCTAGCTTCATCTCCTGTTATTTCATCTCTAGCTCACCAACTTTCAGTCACCCTGCCTTCCTGTCCATATCTTGTGTTAAGGTACCAGCACACGGGTTCCCACTGTATGAAAAGATCTTCCCACTCTCTTCTCCCAGTTAACTCCTATCCTGAAACAGTGGTAAAGAGCACAGACTCTCCTACTGCTCATAAGGTTTACTATTTATTAGTGATGTGACTTTGGGGAAGTTTGCCAACTCTCCGTGCCACAGTTTCCTCTTCTGCAAAATGAGGAAAATTATAGCACCTACCTCATAGAGTAGTGGTGAAGTTGAAATGAGTTAAGATATAATAAGGACATGAACCATGCCTGGCACATAGCGATCACTCCCTAAGTGTGAGCTATTATGATTATTCATCCCTCAGTTAAGTGTGACTTCCTCAAGAAACTTTTTTCTGGGCCCCCAAGTCAATTTCCTCCTCCTACAATATAATCGATTCTACACTGCACTTTTCTTTTGTAGCACTTATTTCAACTCTGAAGATTTCTATGTTTTTATTTAATATCTTTGATCTCCTCTAGATAATGTTTCATGATGGCAGGAACAATGATGGTCTTGTTAAAAATGTATTGCCATAGTCTAGAATGTCACCTCAAACATATAAGCACTTAACACAAAAATACTTGTTAAATGAATCAACTTGAGCAAAGGCATGATGTAGCCATTAGAAATGAATAAGTCTCATGTGGTGACAGTCATTATCTAAATAGACATCTGTCCTGTGTAGAAAATTATATGCCTATGTTGTAAACTAGGCATAATAATACCTCAATGGTGCTGCTTTTAACATAAAACAAAAACATCAAAGCTTATTAAAATGTGTATGCTCCATTAATTAATCATTTTAAATTGGATATTCATAAGTCTCCATATCTATGAGAGATTTCCAAAGTATTTGGCAGTAGCCTAAAATTTGTCATGCTTAAAATTATTTAGAAAAAAAAAATTTTGTCCGGCTTCTTCTGGAAAGTCCTTCAAAATATCATAATCCAGAGTTTGCCAAAGCTTCAGGATTCTATGGAATTTTGAAGCATTATTTTAATACAGTAGAGCCATAATCCTTGGCAGAATATCAGTCTCTCCCAGAGGTAATGGAGTGTATACCAAAACAATGTTTCCAATATGAACCAGTTTTTTCAAGAAATCATTAGAGAGTCCTCATCCTGAAACTCTGGACCACTGTTTGAAAATAACTTGCTTGTTATAAAAACATTATAGTTTCACAGAATAAAATAGGACAAAAATATTTGGGAATCATAATGTGCCAAATAAAAGTCAGCAATGTAGTGATTTATAGAAAACAAATGTGACGCTAAGATAAACTTTAAAGAGTAGAACATATACGACTTTCTTCTAACAAATATTTGATGAACGCCAAGTATCAATGTAGTATACATACAACCTGAGCTGTATGTTTTAACTCAATGCTGAGAAACTGAAGACAGTACAATATTAAGCAAGAAAGATAATAAAGGAATTGAATAAGGAGAGACTAAAAGAAAGATTTAAAATTTTTTTTTAACTTAGAGGAAGAAAAAGGTAAACTGTGAATGTGTTAATATGAAAGTTTATTAGAATATAGCTGCTGCATCATTCTTTCGTTCTTCACAGTAAAACAGACTAGCTCATCACCTTTTAAATAGAGTATCTAAATAAATATTCCTAAAATCAACAATCCATTTATTCTCAGTAAGATCGGTTATCCCAGACAATCTGGGCCATCCTGACTCAACTGGCTGTCAAGGCCTTGTGAGCAGCGCTGCAGCTCCTCTGAAGAAGAAACACCACCAGTGACAGCAGCTTCCGCTCGCATCCGAGTTCAGCTTGCCCTTCTTGGCAGCCTGCCCTGTGGGTTTCAGACTGGCCTCACAATCTCCAGAGTCACATAAGCCAATTCCTAGCAATCAATCTCTTAAAATTCATATTCTACCAGTTCTGTTTCTCTGATGAACCTCTGAACTGACATAGATACTAAGGTTGAAATGTACATGCAGCTAGGGATAGAGAATAAGTTATTTTATAGGTCCTTAACAATTCTATTATTCTCTACTTGAATTTCAAATCTATTAATTAAATAATTTGTTCTTGATTTCACTAGCAATCACCAAAAGATTTCTGGGTAATTAATACCAAATACAATGAGATGCATTACCATTTAAAATCCTCACTCTGCTTCTAAACACTGCTGAGATTTCAAGCTCAAAAGAAAAAGATTAAATTTGTTAACTTAAATATTCTCATGCTTTATTGGCCTTTTTTCTTTCAAAGATATTTCCTTAATTTTTCTTTTAATAAACCAAGTTCTCAAATTCTAATAAAATGTCCACTATTCTTGAGATTAAATACTTCATCCTGCTGAATTAGTAAGAAACTAACATGTTGAATCAGTTTTAAATGGTCTATAGAAAACAGTGGAAGTCTGACTTCTGAGCTAACCTGTGAAAACATAATGTCGCTAAAACAGACTACGTCATACGTAACTTCAAGAAAGAAGGGAAGGCGGGGGACTAACAATGACATCTTCTGAGATATCTGCACAGCAAGAGCTAAATAAAGGGGGAAAAGGAACCAAAATCAAAATTCTTTGAGGAGAGGATCAAGTGGAGTCCAAACCAAAATCATGCGGTGTTTCTCACTGAGAAATGTGTGTTGTTCACTAAGGAGACTGTTGAGTAGAACCTTTTCAAATTTTTCAAACTAAATGCAACTGAAATGAGTGTGATGCTTTGGAACAAACAGACCTTTAGATAAATGCTTATTCTAATTCAGTTATTTACTCCTCATGCATACAACTTTTCAGGACAAGGGACGCTGTCAATATAAACAAGATAAATTCTCTAACCTTTTGACAATCACTCATATTCTAACATGAATTCTATACACATCCACGACCTATGTTCCCCTAGAAGACAGGGCTGCTGACATCTAGGAGCTGGGCAAGCAGGGGACGCAGTAATCAGTGATACGCTGGACAGGCCTAAGGAGACTGCCCAGATTGCTGAGCTGGTTTCTACACTAACAGTCTCCCAGTGTCTAACGGAGTCAGTTTCTACCTGACAATGATAACTAAAAAGAAGGCTCCTGTGCAAAGCTAGCAATAGACATTTAGTTAATGTCATTGAAACAATTGTCAAATAAAAACTTTAGCAAAAAGTTATTTTTTAAAAAAAACAACAAATTTGCCAAAGATTCCTTTATAGACTTTTGGCAAATAGCTGGAGCTATCTATAAAGTCTACTGTAGGTACAGGGAGCACTAGTCTTCATGGTTATATTCAAGCAAATTAGAAAAAGCACCCCTCCCCTAGAACAAATTAGAGAACCAGCTTTCAGCTCCCCCTATTCCATTAGCCAGGAGCTTTTGTGCCGTGAGCAAACTGCAAAGCTCCGTATGGTGGCCCTGACTGTGAGCCCCCTGACTGGTAAGTAAGTGATATGGTACCCCCTAAATACAGGTCAAACCAACTCTGGAAGGTCTACGGCCCTACATTAGAACTTCTCAAGTTTGTCTTTAAATAAAGAAGATAAATTCTCTCCATGGCTCTTGATAACTCTCCATAAGGACTTTTAAACCCTTTCTTTATATTAGAAATCCTTTTGAGAATCTGATGAAAACTATAGACTGGTTATCCAGAAAAATGCTTGTATACGCACACACACAAAATTTTATATACAATTTCAAGAGGTTCACAGATCTCTTGACATCCATTCATAGGCCCCTGTGGCCCCTGGGTTAAGAGCTGCTTTTTTAAACTGTCAGATTTAATTTACTTAGATGTTCCCCCTACAGAGACTTCCCAGCTCAGAGATCAACACAAAAAGGAACAATAAAGCAAATCCAGACAGATGTGTTGAGAACACCGCCCATAACAACAAACGTAGGAGATCTCAGGTCCCCATACCAAAGAAGTTCCTATACCAACATCTCCAACATCACCTGGGCAACAGATAGTATGAACATTATAAAGCTTGTAACTGATCATTTTTCCAGATGTAGGTAAATACCTAAAAATTCATTTCTTAATATGTAGCTTCACTATAAAAGTAATTTGAAGCAGTTGGATTTCCTTCTTTGCCTTGACCTATAAGAAGTTTACAAATAAATTTATAGTCCATGTGAAGAAACTATATATTAATATCACTAACTTTATATCTTACTCTTGTTTCCTTTCTACCCATCTTGACTATATATTTTCTTTCATGTACTATATATACAAAATATTGTATGTCTTTAACTTGTCTCAATTTTGTTTTTGGAAAAATGTAAGATTATAATTAATTAAGAAACATAAATTCCTCTAAAAAGAATAAGAATGATTGATTGAGAATAATATTAAGATTTGGTTTATTAGGAGTATGCCAACAACAAAAGGCCAGCACATCTTTTAAAAATGGATTAATCCTTTTAGGCTACCAGTACCATTAAAATGAATGAAAGTAAATAAAACTTCACAGACAGAAGAGCTTCCCCTCTGTGTTCTAAACTCCCTTATCTCACCAAAAATTTATACACAGAAGTCTGATTAATATCTATATTCTTCAATGTGGAACTTAATATTCCCTCCTTGGTACTCCCACGGCATAGCATATTGTACATCATCTACTATAGCAACTATTACCATATTATAATCATGTCTGCATTTTTCTCCTCTACTACTTCTAGAGTTTCCTTGGGAACTGGGATCCTGTCTTATTCATCTTCATTATACCTGGCACCTGACACAAGGAGGGCAAGAGTGTCAGGCAAGAGCCTGTTAAAGTATTGTCCAACTCCGGTGGACATAACTGAGGTTATGTATACCAAAGCACAGTGTAAGAAATGTCAGAGTGGACGAGACAGACTGGTTCCTAAACAAATCTTCCATTCATCAGCATCTTTATAACCTCTGATTCAATTCTAGCTTTCTATCAGCTCTGCCCTCCAAGTTTGTGCCCTATGAAGAGAGACTGTTATGGTCTCAATACGGCCCCATCCACCTTCTCTCTTGAAAGGTTAGGCCAAATTTGGTAAACATTTACTAATATTTGCTGGATAGATCAATCAAAGGCAATCTTGCATAGTAAAGGAAGCTCCAACAGAATGATATATACTTTAACACATCAGTTTGTATGCGTGTGCATATATACATATGAATATTAAAAATCAAGAATTTTTATCATCAGCAGGACAATTACCTCTTTTTTACCTCCTTCTTTCCTATGTCTCTCACTAGGCCACCCAACATATCTAAATATTCAAGACATTAGGTATGTGATGGAGCTCCAAAGTATTTAAGGCACTAAATAGCTCTGATTGGTAGAACGTGTCAATATTTGCATTAACATAGACTTAGCTTTAAAAATCTTTCAAAAAAATGATAGAAAGTATTACACCTTTTTTTACTTACTAGTTGTGTGACTTTGGATTAGTTACTCAATTGCTCTGTGGCTTAATTTCCTTATCTGTGAAATGAGAATAACTGTTCCTACTTTACGGTAACGTTATGAGGATTAAGTTGATTAAAATATGTAAAGCACTTAGAAAACTGCCTAATATATAAGAAACACTCAATAAATATTAGCCATTAATATTTATCACAAAAAATATTTTCTACTCAAAGTCTATAAAACACAAATATTTTCAGAGCAAATATTTTTAAGAGTGATGAATAAATGAAAAGCAATAGGATATACTGGAGTACTTGAGGAAGCCATTTGGTTTAAAAGTAATACAGCCTGACCTTGTTTTCCCAGAAGGGCCTGACATGGCCCGTTGAGTATGCATTGTACATCTGCTTTAAATATTTACAATGTCCCAAAGCCAAGAAGGATGACCTTAAAGACTGGGACATTGCCTCCCTCATATCAGCATTTAAGGATAAGCATTTCTTCCCAGAAACTAAGGATTAATTACTGACCTGCTTTAACTCATCTCGTGACCAGCAACCTGCTGACCACTGACTTGCTGTGCTCGCTTTGTGACTACTGACGTGCTGTGCTAGAAAAGTATCTTGTGACCGTAGTAAAAGAGATATTCCCTGTCATATGTGATACATGCTCTTTGTCCCAACATGGTATATAACCACTGTGTACACCCCACTTCTTTAGAGAGCTTCCTTCCTCGGTGGAAAAACCTCCAGGGCTAAAGTCCTCAAATTGGCTCACAGTAAACTCACCTCAATTTTGATTTATAAATTCACTATGAATTATTTGCATCAACACAGATTACTTGAAAGTATCACCTAGCCTATTTTTCAGCAAAACGAGAAAGAAAATGTAGTTTGCATTTTTTGAGGGTCTTTAATATTAGGTTGAAACACATGAAAATGCCATTTTTATAGGGAAAAAACAGTTCAATATCAGCAAGTATAGGGTTAACTTTTATAAATTATCTTATGTTAGAAAAATTAAATTCATTTCACTGAAATGCATTTAAAATAATTTTAAGAGATAGAACCTCAGCATGCAATTAAGCTTGCAAAAATAATTTTAAAATATTGCCATCATAAGTATCTTTAGGGATGCTATAGACCGAATGTTCATGTCCCTCCCAAATCCATATGCTAAGAGCTAACCCACAATGTGATGTTGTTTGGGGGTGGGGCATTTGGGAGGTGATTAGGTCATGAGGGCTCTGCCCTAGTGAATGGGATGACATGCTCTTAAAAAAGAGACTGAGAACCCTTAGCCCCTTCCCACATGTTTACAGAGAGAAGATGGCTGTCAATGAAGAAGAGGGCCTCGCCAGACCTGGAATCTGCTGGGGCCTTGATCTTGCACTTTCCAGCCTCTAGAACTGTGAGAAATAAATGTTTGTTGTTTAAAAGGCACTCAGTTTATGGTGTTTTGGTATAGCAGCCTGAACGGACTAAGAAACGGGATATGGAAGAACCTGACTATATTACTGAAAAGGCGGTAAACATCTTCCGGGTGAAACATCGACATTTCAACCAGCAGGGCTCAACTCTTCTACTTCCGTTCTCTAAATGGAATCCTACATGAAAAGACTAATGCAGCTCTCCACCCCCTCAAAAAAATTAGCAACTCCCTCTTCGTTTGAAGACGGCTTGCTCAAATTATTACTGCAATCATAAAATACATTCAAATAGACACTTCTAAAGTTTCTAACATTAGAACTTTCATTTCCTTCTTACAGGGGTGAAGAAATATGCTTAAGGATAGGTGGTTTCTCTGAAAATTAAAAATCCTCATTCAAATCTGAGAGAGGAATCACTCAAATGTGGTCATTTGTTAAGTCACTCACTCAACAAACATTTACTGAGTGCCCCCTATGTGCCAGGTGTAGTACTGGCTCTGAGGTCAGAGATAAAAGTTATTTAGTCCTTATCTTCAAGAACTAAAATCCTCAGCAAAGACAAATTAAATAGAAAATAATAATACAATGTGACGAAGGCTCTAAAAGAATCTAGGAAAGGGACTAGCTCAGATTGCAGGGAAGGGGGCAGAGCATAATCCAGGAGGGTACAAACAAGGACAGGTGAGGGGCCATGGCAGTCAGGAAACTCCAGCAACTCAGTGTGAAGTGGCTGGAGGGAAGGGCGACCGTACACATACTCAGCATACTAATTACTCTACTTCTGTACTGTACATTATAACCTAATTAGGGTAACAGAGCAGAGAATACAAAGAGAAGAAAAGAGCAACAACTCACCATGCTTTCCCCTAGAAATATCCACGTACTGGCACAGTCTGGGATGTGTGATGGTCTTAAGGATTTGAAAGCGCCCTAAAATTTTGATGGAATTTGGCGTAAGAGGAAGCCCGTTGCTTCCACAAACATCATGTGGCAGAGCTGAGGCAAAAAAGGTAAAGGCACCCATTTCGGCATCCTTCAAGGGAAACATTTTTAGAGTCTTAGATGTTCCAAGATAACCTGGAAAAGGAGAGAATTTTATGACACATCAACCAAACATTAAGTCAGTGTTTTCTCACCTTAAACATGATTAATAATATATAACTTGGAGGAAAATGCCAATCTGAACACTTCACGGTAAACAACATCAAAGTTTAAAAATTCCAAGATATGAAAGAGGAAAAACTACCCAATCATAAATCAAAGATTTTCAAAGGCAAGAAAAGGAAAAGATAGAACGTTCCCTCTTCAATGAGCCCTGACAGTTTAAGTTTGGAGGAAGCACGTTATTGCATATTCATATCAATAATGTTCTTCTATTTACCCGAAGCCTGAATAATTCACAGACCATCAAAACTTTCCCTTCTCACAGAGTGAGGGAAGTCAGGAAAGAGGAAATACAGACACCGATCAGAAACTTTAAATAATGAACTGTCCAGGAATCATCAAATAGTTGAGGAAGACTATAGCATAAAGGGCAAAGAATAAAATAAGCAACAACAAAAAAATCTGCCCTGGAGGAAACTGAAATAATTTATGAAGAAAACAACAAAACAAAACCAACTCTAACATATTCAGAAAAATTTGAGAAGATACTACATCCATTACGTAAAACAGGAGGTATGGAAAGACATATTTCATATAAGAGTGAAGAGGAATTGCCAATGTACATACAAGCAGATAAACAACCTCATTAATAGCCAAGGAACGGCTCATTAAAACCACATGAGAATTTATACCTGCCAGATAGTAAAAATGTAAAAATCTGATAACACAATGTTAGGAGGATATGGAGAAATAGAATGTAAATTGGTCCAATCGCTTTGGAAAAGAGTTTGACACGATTTTGCTGTTCCATTCCTGCATAAACTCCCACACATATACACAAGGTGATGCACATAAGAAAGATTAGGGTGGCATTGTTCCTATTATCCCCAAACTGGAAACAACATAAATGTCCAAAGACAGGTAAATGGCTAAATGAATTGTGGTACATTCATCTGATGGAAGAGTATACCCGACGGGAAATTAGCAAAATACAGCAACACCTAACGGCATAGGTGAATCGTAGAAGTATAATGTTGAATAGGAAGAAAAAGTCACACAAAACTTATGCCAATATTCATAACATTCAAACACAAGAAAATCTAAATAAAAAATAATTCAGGAATACTTACATGTGAGGTAAGAATATATTCAAAAAGGAAAGAAATAAAAAAAAAACCCAAACACCTGAGGCCAGGAAAAGCTATGGAAAAGTGAGGGTGAGATTAGGGAAGAACCCATAAGCTTCAAAAACATTGAGTAATTGGTGGGTTTATGGGTATTCATATAATTATGCTCCAAAATTTCCATATTCTATCTATCTATATATGCATGTGCTATATATCATACATATGATAAATTTTTTTTAATTTATATTTTAAAATTAAAAAATTCTTAAAATACAGTGAACTGTTTTTCAACAAAGGCCAAGGAATTCACGTTTAAAATACAGTGAACTGGTTTTCAACAAAGGCCAAGGAATTCAAGAGGGGAAGGACTTTCTTTTTAACAAATGGTGCTGAAACAAGAAGTTATCCCCATGGAAAAAATTAGCCTCAACTCTTACTGTTACATCTACAACAATCTGAGATGCATTCTAGACCTAAATGTAAAGGTTAACACCTCAAGTCTTCTACAAGAATACAGAAGAGAGTATCTCTGCAACCTTAGGATAGGCAAGTATTTCTTAGGCAGGATAAAAAAAGTACTAACCATAAAAGATGAACATGATAAATTGGACTTCATCAAAATTAAAACATCTGCACATCAAAAGACACCTCTGACAAAATGAAAATCCAAAACAAAGATAAGGAATATATTATTTATATCTATATACACATACATATATATTACATCATGTGTACATGACATCTTTATCAAATATACGTATGTGTGTGTACCTATGATAACACATCTGTAAATAAAGAATGCCTGCAACTCAATAATAAAAATAAAAACAAGTCATTGCAAAAATAGGCAAAAGTCTTAAACATATATTTTCACAAAGGAAGGCATACAAATAGACAATAAGGCATGAAAAAGTTCTCAATGTCATTAATCATCAGGGAAATGCAAATTAAAACCACAACAGCACACCATGTCACACCTACCAGAATGGCTAAAATTTGAATGACTGGCAATACCAGTGTTGAGGAAAACGTGGAATTGGAGCTGATACACTGCTGCTGGTAGGAGTGTAAAATGACACAAGAAGTTTGGAAAACTGTTTGGAAAACTGTTCTAACATTAAAAATACCCCAACCTTATAACTCAGAAATTCCACTCTACTAGGTATATATCCAAGAAAAATGAAAATATTTGTCCATAAAAATACTTGCATGAGAATGTTCATGGTATGTCTACTCATAACAGCCAAAAACTGGAAGCAATACAAATGTCACGCAAGTGAATGGATAAACACATTGTGGCTTATTCATCCAATGAAATTCTATTCACCATCAACAAAAAAGGGACAAACGCGCCAAAACATGGATGTATTTCAAAAATGTTATGCTGATGAAAGAAGCAGACCCAGAAGAATTCATATCCTATGACTCCATTTATGTAGTTCTAGAACTACAGTTTTTTTGTCTGTGTGTGTATGTGAGGAAGATTCATCCTGAGATAACATCTGTCACCAGTCTTCCTCTTTCTTTTGATTGAGGAAGATTAGCCCTGAGCTAACATCCATGCCAATCTTCCTCCACTGTGCATGTGGGATGCCTCCGTAGGATGGCTGATGAGTGGAGTAAGTCTGCACCTGGGATCTGAACTGCAAACGTGGGCCTCCCAAAGCAGAGTACACAGAACTTTAACGACCCAGCAGAACTCCAGTCCTCAACTATAGCGATAAAAATGAGAACGTGGTGCCTCAGGCAGGGAGGACGGGACTGGACAGGGAAAACAGGAACATTTTGGATTAGTGCACATGTTCTACATCTTGACTGGGGTGATGGCTGTCACATGGATGTTTACACGTATCAAAACTCATCAAACAGGGTCACTTAAAATCAGTAAATTTTAATATGTGTAAGTTTCATCTCACAATAAATGAAAAATGAAACAAAATTAAGAGAATATGAGAAAAGAATAATTTAAAAATGAGTGCTTGGAAATTAAATATATGATTACCAAATTAGATAGAAGCACTGGAAAATAAAGTTGAAACAATTGCTCAGAATGTGGAGCAAAAACAGAAGAAGATAAAAACATAAGAGAAAAGATAATAGATATAGTGAATCAAAGTAAGAATACAACCACCACTTTATAGGCGTTCCAAAAAAAGAGAACAGAGAAAAATAAAGAATAAATTATGAAAGACAGAATAGGAGAAAACTCCCCACAGCTAAAAGGAAATATGTACCTTTAAATTAAAAAGACTTATAATTTCAAGGAGGTTAAATGAAAAAAGACCCACACTGAGACATTTATCCTAGCTCTTTTGAATGAGTTCATTGCACGGAGAATAAACTCACACCAAGACATATCATCAGAAATTTTCAAAGCATTAAGCATAACTAAAAATTTTAATCATTTCAGAGAGAAAATCAACTGGTTCAGGCTCAACAAATTAAGATCAAACTGGTACTCTCATCTCACGAGCAATGATGGAAGTTAGAAGATGGTGAAGTGTTGAAAGATTTGAAGAAATAATTTTGTTTCTATACCCAGCCAAACTATCAATCATAATAGCAAAACAATTTACAGCCATGCAAACATTAAAAAATAAAATTACAGGGGCTGGCCCGGTGGTGCAGCCATTAAGTGCACACATTCCGCTTCAGCGGCCTGGGGTTCGCCGGTTCGGATCCCGGGTGTGGGACATGGCACCGCTTGGCAAGCCACGCTGTGGTAGGCGTCCACATATGAAGTAGAGGAAGATGGGCACAGATGTTAGCTCAGGGCCAGCCTTCCTCAGCAAACAGAGGAGGACTGGCAGCAGTTAGCTGAGGGCTAATCTTCCCCCAAAATAAAATTGCAATCCACATACCTTTTGTAAGTAAGTTTCCTTAGGATATATTCTACCAAAACAGCGAGAAGAGCAAATAATAGAAGATGTGTGGTTAAGAAACAATGTAACTTACCCAAGTTCAATCAATATAACCCAGGAAGAGAAGATGTACAAAAGGACTAGAACGTCATTTATTCAAATTAAACAGAAAGTGATTGGGTTCCTAGGGGAATGTCTTCAAGCAGAGAAATGGAATGGAGGCTTCTCATACAAAGAACGAGAGGACATAGTGAAGAAAGCACATGCACCTTTTCCCCAAAAGAAAGCAGAAAGTCCTTCACGAAAGTGAGGAGGGTTAAAAAGTACTAAGTATATGGCCCCCCAAATAAAGCACACTTAACTATGGGATAATTTTTCGTCATTACAGAGGAAGAAAGAAGAATCAATTTGACGTCAACATTACAAATCTTCTCCTTAGTGTGGTACAGTGGTCAGGAAATTAAAACACTGGGAAGGAAATGTATTATGGTGTAATTCTTGGCTCTGCACTGAAGTATATTTACAAAGCCATAGTATTATAACATTTTCTTGGTTTTTAGCACATAAACAAAACAAAAACCAATTGTAGTTAAGAAACGTGTTATAAATGCTATTAACCGTGATCACCTGTAAGTAAAGGTCCAGCAAAGGGAAGGGGCAGTGGATGTGGTTTCTCGGGTGGTAAAGGAAAAGGGAGAGTCAATACTTTCCTCATTTTACCAAATAAGAAGCCAAAATATATTTTCAAAAGTGATGTGAAAAAAATAGTTTACATATACTATTTAGAATTATAAAACTAACTAACATGAAAACTAAAAATTGTCATGACCATTCAAAAACTTGGAGAAGACAGGTTGTGGATGGTGTGGGCTTTCTACTGCTAAAAGTCAAAAAAGGCGGCTGGCCCGTGGTCAAGCGGTTAAGTTCACGTGCTCCTTTTGGGAGCTGGGGTTTGGATCCTGGGCGCAGACCTACACACCACTCATCAAGCCATGCTGCGGCAGCATCCCACACAGGAGAACTAGAATGACCTACAACTAGGATATACAACTATGTGCTGGGGCTCTGAAGATAAAGAAGAAAAAAAAGAGGGAGACTGGCAACAGATGCTAGCTCAGGGCCAATTTTCCTTACCAAAAAGTATACCTAAAAAAAATAGTCAAAAAAGAAAAAACAGAATTAGCAGTTTAACTTATTATTCAACATACAGACCTAAAATTAGACAGTTAAAAGTGGTTATCTCTGAAGAACAGGACGGAGGGTGGGAAGGGAGACAGTGAATTGTTGCATTTTATTATGCAATCCCTTTATACTACTTGATTTTCAATTAGATGCCTCTATCCTTTAGACAGCTAAAAATCAAGTAACCAAATAAAGAAAATGCGAATGATTCAAAAAGATAAAATACTAGGTAGCAAAAAACATTTCATCAGTGTCCTGCTTCAACTGTATGAGATGGGTGCACATAAAAGGCGCAAACATAAAAAATACAGACACAGATGTGCTCACTCTTGGTGAGTGGAAGAAAGCTACTGAGAAAAACAGCTGAGGTGAGAGATTAGTGGAGGAAAAATAACAATGTAAACAACTGGGTTTGAAAATTCCTTCACTCAACCAGTATCTTGAAGTTTCTACTTCAAGTCAGGTGTTTTTCCAGCAGCTGGGGCAACGACTATGAGCAAGACACAATGTCTGCCCTCAAAGAACTTGGAGTCGAACTGACTTAGATGGGGGAAAAAAAGGTCAAAAATAGGGCAAAAGACGCTGATTTCATCATGAATAAAACCGTTCACACATTTCTTCAGCGGACGAATAATACTAGTTCATTCCTTTTGTATATTTTCCCTCAAAAAGCTTTCTGTCCCAAATAAAAACAGGGACAAGAACCTTGAAAAGCAGCCACTGACACTTCTAAAGGAACTTCCTTCCACTCGTTCCCTTTCTCCCCCTCCACAAGGGAACGCTACACCTCGACAGCTGGCTAAACCTTGAAAACCAGAAACCAGCCAAAGCTCGAGTTGGCACCTGCGGTGAGCCATGGACAGCCGACGCCACATTCTCTAGCCTCTCCTCTAGGCCCCCTGGGAAGCTCCTTTGCAAGCGCCGCGTACAGTTCCGAGGGCTCAGGGGTGGTGCGCGGGAAGGCGGGCTGGGGACCGCACTTGCAGCAAGCTGCCGCACAGGGCTGCACCTCTCACTGCGGACACGCCGGCCACCGCCGCACCAGCCCCACCCATCACGAAGCAGAAAGCGGGGAACCCCAATACCTGCCTCTGAGTGTGGGGACGCAGGCGGAGGCAAAGGCAACGGGCCGGGGCTCCAGCGCGGTCGCTGCGGCTGCCCCAACTCCTCTGGGCGCCAGGCCCCACACTGCAAGTGCTTCCACAAACGGGGCCGCTCCCGAGCGCCGGAGGCCCTGTGCCGGCGAGCTCAGCCCGCCGCGTTCCTGGTCGGAAGCCGGCGGGGGCGCGAGCCCGGCCCTCTCCGCGTATAGCGCCAGCCCCGCCCCTCAACGCAGCTGAGCCCTTTCCTCTGACCTCACAGCCCCGCGACGCAACCCTGAGCAAAGTCCCCGACGTCCGGCGTCTTTCCCCTTGCCTCATCTGGCGACAAAATGTAGCGACTGAAGAAGAGGTGCGGGGGGGAGTTGCCGTTATTGGCTTTATTGGCTGAGGAAGCCCCACAGCGTGGTGTAGCACAGGAAGGTGCGACAGAATTTGTAGTCGAATCTGCGGAGCGCGCTCAGGCGTTTAGCGGGGACACCTCGTGGGGGTCCTTTCTCATCGCCCTCGTGCTCCGGCGCCGTCCCTTCTGCTCCGGGCGGAGGCTGCGCGGCGTCCCTGTCTGCCCCTTAATGTGAGTGTCCGCGGAGGGTCCCGGGGTGGGTGGGCTGCGGTCGAGGAGTCTCCTTCGCTTCCTCGCCTGCGGGAGACAGGGTCTGGCCCGCGGGAGCTGGGGGAAGTTGCTCACCCAAGCACCAGTCGTGGCATGGGAAAGTAGGGACGAGCCCGGGACCTTCAGACGGGGCCCAGGGAAAGGATGCGCTGGAAAAGATAGATTCACAAACATGTTCACTTTTACATGTGTGTGTGTGTGTGTCAAAGGACTGGGGGCGGGGAGACAGGAATTCATTCATTCCGCGTGTGGTCGTTTCGCGCCCTCTAAGTTCCAGGCACTGTTTTAGGCATTGGGTAAACAGCAGTAACAGAACAGGTAAAAATTCCTGTCTAACTAGTTCACATTTTATTGAGTTAGACACACACTAAATACAATTAAGAAAAACATACCATGTTTTAGGGCGTAGTGAGTGCGGAAGAGAAAAATAATAAAGCAGGGAAGGAGCATATAGGATGAAATTTTAATGAGGCCAGGGAAGGTCTCACTGAAAAGCTGCCTTTCGAGTAAAGAGCTGACAGAATGAGAGAATTAACCGTACAGCTATCTTGGGAACGTGCGGTTAGGCAGAAGGACTAGTCACTGCAAAGGCCGTGAAGCGGAAACGCCTCAATATCGAGGAGGCCTGTGGGTCAGAGTGAAGTGTAGGAAATAAGCCGAAGACAAAATCAGAGAGAGCAGGAGCAGGTCAGGAAGGAGCTTGAGGGCATCTGAGCCATTGGCGGGTTTTGAGCAGTGGAGTGGCATACTCTGACTTCCTTTTAAAAGGATCTCTCTCTGCCATGGAGAATATGTACCACGTTCTGTAGCACTGTAAGAAAGATGTTCTTAGAGTGGGGTAACTTCGCAATTAGATTAGGAAGCAAATGGAGGAAAGGAGTTTGGAAGATAAGAATAGAGATAATGGTAGGAGAAGAGAGAAAAAAGATTAAAATTACTATAGTTTATTAATTCTGATATGCACAGTTTTCTCATATGTACATTTCTGAGATAGTAGTGTATCTTATAATTGTCTTAAAAGCACTAGACTAAGAGGCAGTTGTGATGTAGTTGTCAATGCCCACACTTAAAGCAAACTGGTTATAACTGTTAATAGTGTCATCAGTTCGGTTGAGTTATGTGTACTCTTGGTATATAGCGTTGTTGAGTTTACTGTTCATTTTAAGTATCCTTTAAAAAATGATTTAGCATTAAAATGAAAAATTATTGTGTATGTAGAAATACAGGGAAACAGAAATGTGATATAAGATAAAAACAGGGCTAAATTTAAAAGAGGTCTTTCAAATAATACAGGCTGCAACTAAGTGATAAGAAAGCATTGGGTTAGCTAAATCAGCTGTGGTTTTTTTTAAATGGTACGTAAAGTAACAGAGCATCTTATGATTGGAGCCATTTTACAATTGATGGCATCTTAGATTTGACAAAATACATACTTCGAGTATCTAAGAAGAATATAATTTTTTTCCTAATTGCAATTCTGAAGTAGTGAAATTAGAGTTTTGCAAAGTAGAGAGACATTTCCAAATTTTTGTAGAGTTCCTATACTATGAAGTAAAATTGCAAATCTGTACTTAAAACTTTCATTTCAAAGCAATAGCTTATTTGTTTATACGTCCTAATATTGAGAGCCTGGGACAGGGAGTTTGTTATTTAAAATAAATCCCTAGCAATTTAGAATTAGAGTGGGGAAGACTACTGAGGAGATTGCTTAGGTAAAGGGGAGCCATTTAGAAACGATAAGAATCCCAGAAATAATCTTTTATGTGTGTGATCAATGATTAAGATGTAGTCTCAATTCATGCATTTGGTAAAATCAGTTCCAGCTTTCATGAAGCTTTTAATGATTAGAGTCGTCTTACAATGGCATTTTAGATTTGAGAAAATGTGAACGTTGAAAAGAAAATTATTGTGAAGGGGTAGAACAATTTAGATAATACTGTTCAAAAGCTTTTTGTCGTAAAAAATATGTTCATTTTATTATGTTTCAATTTAGTAAAGGAAAAAGAAAAAAAGTCTTGACTCTCACTATCCAAACACGGTTAATGTACTCGTGTATTGTTCCCTGTCTTTTTTTCTCTATAAATGTTTTCTATTTGTAATTACTGTGCTTGCAGTTAAATATTATATCTATTTTAATCTCATAAGCATTTGTTAAAAAGATTTTAGCACAAACTGAACCAGCATTCCCAGACTGTTTTAGAGAATATTAGTTCCGATAAATGTTAATAGGTGTTCCTTGGTTGGGATTCTGTGGTTAAATACATTGGGAAATGCTTCATAATTATATCCTTTAGAGAAATTACAGCTTGGACGTTAAAAGAGCTAACTCTAGAATCAGACAGACCTAAGTTTCAGTCCTTGTGTACTGACTAGCCACATGACTTGAGGCAAATTAATTCTAATTCAAGTTTTCTTCTCTGTGTAATGGAGATAATTACAGTATTCATAGATGATCTATGTAAAGCATTTAGCCAGTCCATAAATGCTCTACAAATGTTACCTATTATTACCATTATCATCTGTGAGAAACCCTACGCATATTAGCATATTAAAAGCTCAGAAGAGACTAAGGAAACAAAATTTTGAAATTCAGAGGGTACTCAATGTAAAATTGAAAATCACCGTGGAACAGTTGGCACACAATGAAATGAGCACTGAGTTGAATGATAAAAAGATTTGTCTGATCTTTAAGCGGTGTTGCTAAACCGGCACTGTTGCCCTAAATATAACCATTTAAAAAACTTTCTCCAGTTTACTGTGTTTCCCCCATTTGTCTGAAGTTTAGCGAGTACAAAGAAAATGTTTACTTTGGTCTCTACTATAAACCCAGCACATGGCTCAAAATCAGGGACTATGAGTAAAATTGAGGTCATGAACTTAAGTTATTTATGGGGTCCTGGCAGTAACATAAATGGCAGACAACAGAGAGTGAAGTCTGTGCCTTGTCTAAAGGCATTCACATCCAATTTTTTCTAACACTTAACTCTGGAACACAGGGGCGTCCCTGGTCTGTATGGCGACAGTTTGTAATCCCTAGAAGACACTAGAGATGGGACCAGACTGCGAAGAACGAATGGTTGGGTTGGATCACTGTCGTCCCTCTTTAGTCGCAACATTTTAAGACTTCATGGCCTGGATATGTGTTTTCCACTAACTTTGCTCTTTGTTCCTAACATGTTTTCTCTTTTTCTTTATGTCTCATGTTTTGTTTATTCAGTTATTTAGTTAAAAATAAATCCATTTTTGCTGAATATTTCAAGTGATATACGTTTCTCAGTCCTGGTTTTATTTGCCAGTTTACAGTTTAAAACTAGACCTTAACCTAACCAAGTATTTGTAAACTTATAGCCATGTATATAAATTATACTTGTTTTATAATATGCTTATATAACTGAAAAAAAAATATATATATATATAGCAAATTAGTGTTCTGTAGTGTTTAAACTTAATGCATAAGAATTACCTGTAGGTTGCATGGTATTTTACATGCTTTTTTGTATTTGAGTGATAGACATTTCACTTGCTCTTCAGTAACCCATTATCCCCTTTTATATTGAGGGGGTGATATGTTTTTTATTGAGCATTTTATTGAAAGGAACTTTCATGTAGTTTACTTATAAAAGTGTAAGTAAATTCAAACTAAATTTCATAGCTGATTGTTATCCCTCTCCTGCCAAACTGGAATTATTACCTAGTCTTAACTAGCTGTAATCCTTTTTGTGTTTTCAGTTTGTGATACCAGTTTTTTGGTTTCACAAAAACTGGGATGGCAAGTCTTTTCATTTTATATTTCCTAATCTCTTAGCATCTTTAGATAATGATTTTGAGGATTATTCTGGTTTTCTCTCATTTATGTTTTTTATCGTATCATTCAGAGTTTTACACTGTCCTTTATCAGATTGTTTCCTCTTAGTGGCAGTATTTATGTGTTTAATATATTCAGCTCACTTGTGTTTCTATTTTTTTCTTTTATTTTTTTTGAGGAATATTAGCCCTGAGCTAATATCTGCTGCCAATCCTCTTCTTTTTGCTGAGGAAGACTGGCCCTGAGCTAGCATCCTTGCCCATCTTCCTCTACTTCATATGTGGGACTCCTGCCACAGCATGGCTTGACAAGTGGTGCATAGGTCCGCACCCAGAATCTGAACCGATGAACCCCAGGCCACCAAAGTGGAACATGTAAACTTAACCGCTGCGGCACCAGGCTGGCCCCTTGTGTTTCTGTTTTGAAATGTGGCATTCTTTCTTCCTAAACTTGTGCCTGTGCTTCAATATGTGTTTCAAAAATCACAGTTTGTTTAACTCACTTTTGTCAATGTATTTTACAGGTAGTTAATAGATTTTTCCACACAATGAAGTTATGTATCTCTTTTTCTCTTAGGCTAGGATTTAGATCTCTATTTTGCAAATGATTGTGAGTCTTAGTTTGGAAATGTTCTTTTGTGGGCCCGGGTGTGAGTCTCACGTTGTGCCTTGTCACAGCTTGGCGATGTGTGTGAGACGACTCTGGACCTGTGGGCGAGTTCATGAAAACTATTTTATGCTTAAGTCTGTCTGTTTCTTATCGGTTAAGATACTAGTTTACAAGGTTTTCTCCTAAAATGTATCACTAATTTCACATTCAGTTTAGTATTTCTCATCAAATTTCTCTTTGCCAGGGAAGTGAAAATTACAAATTATGCCAAATCAAATACTCATTATATTACTCGAGATAGCAGTATTTCACCTATTGAATACATTTGGTCATTACTGACGTTAGACTAAAATAAAATAACATTAAACTAGAAGAGAGCTGTGTAACAAGGATATGAAAGTTCAGAAGGTGGGGCTGCCCCTGTGGCACCGCAGTTAAGTTCACATGCTCTGCTTTGGCGGCCCAGGGTTCGCTGGTTCGGATCCCAGGTGCAGACTTATGCACTACTTGTCTAGCCATGCTGTGGCGTCTCCCACGTATAAAGTAGAGGAAGATGGGCACAGATGTTAGCTCAGGGCCAATCTTCAGCAAAAAGAGGAGGATTGGCAGCGGATGTTAGCTCGGGGCTAATCTTCCTCAGAAAAAGGGTGATAGCTTCATTTTCAACTTTTGTACCTTTTCTTTTTCTTTGTGTTTTTCTAAACCGTTAAATAATAGTCCACATAGAACATGAGCAGTTTACTATGCCTTTTTAATTAATCCCCCATTTATATTTTCTTCATTTACTAGCAACTTTATAGGGTTATTTTTATTACTGATATCATAAATTGTCAACTTTAGCATAAAGTTTTTTGAGGGTTGGTTTTCTTTTTATGAAAAAGGTAAACCTTTCAGAAAGTTCTTTATATAAGATAGATATTGCATTGTCATTTGAAATTTTATAACAATCTTGTATCATTTGTCCATTATTAGCCGATTTTTCCTTTATCAAAAAATTTCACCATTTATTGAGTCTGCATCATTTGTTTAAAATCAGAATTATTTCTGCAATGCTTTTGTCTTTGCTCTACTTTTAATGATAACTTGATCAGGTAATCAGGTAAAAAAGAGAAATTCGTAGTATTGTTAATGATTAGCTCTGTGTTTTGTCAGTGTGACTATTTGTCTTAATATTTAGTAGTTTAAACTTTAACATGATCAATTAATCTCAGAATGTTTGCTTAGATGCATTTTTCTGTACCTTGACAAATGTTTTCCAATTTCTAAGAATTACTATAAAATTAAAATTGTAATTTTCTTTTACAACGGACACAGTATATATACTAACATTATTTCTGAGTAGACATATGATTAGTATTGATGTTTTCCTCATTGTTGATGTTTTTCCTTTAATATTTTTCTTTCCTAATTCACCTGTTCCTCCTTAAAATTATACATAGTTAAATAGACAGTAGAAATATCCCGTATACAAAAGTAACAAACAAAGGAGGAATTCAGCAGTTCTTTACTTGGGGACATAGGTGTGGTGCTCAGTTATAGCTTAGTTAAGGTTATTGTTGTTCTTAGTGTTCTCGTCTTGTGTCATAACATTCTGCAGTATTTTAAAGCTTTCCTTAAAATTTTCCAATCTAAAATGTAGGTAAATAATGTCTTTTCTGCATTTAGGAAAAAAATTGATTTCCTCTTGTAAACAGATTCAGGAATTAGTCTGTTTAACTTTTCTGCCATTTGTTGGGTTTGTTGCTCTATGTTGGAAAAATGTGTTTCTAACATATTCATCTGTTAGAGTAGAAAGTATTTTCCTTTCAGACTCCTTGTTCACGTGTTCTGTACAATAAATTTATTCCATCTACAGGATAATTTGTCCCTTTTATTTTTTTTTCACTTAGGATTCTCTGCCGTTTCATGGCAAAAATGGCAACCAGTGATGCTGTTTTGAAGAGATTGGAACAGAAGGGTGCAGAGGCAGATCACATTATTGAATATCTTAAGCAGCAAGTTGCTCTTCTTAAGGAGAAAGCAGGTAAGAAAATTTAAAATATTCTAAGGAGATAGCTAAAATGAATTCATGTATTAACAGAGCAGAAAAAAATGTGTTTACCACATAAATTATTACTTCATCATCTTGATGATAACTTTTAGATTCCTTTAAAATTTTAATTTTGAGTGAAACAATATTTTAGCATTAAGGTAAATTAGAATTGGTATATGGTGAATATATGATACATAGAGAAAACAATGTATTATTTCAAGACTGCTAAAAGAAAATTGTTTAAAATAAGTTGGTATAGAATTAGAGATTAAAAATGAGGAAAATTGAGTGAAATCATATGAACTCAAATATCTCTAACCTTGTATGGAAGAGAATGTATACTTTTATATTACTTTCTACTCAGACATTTTCTGAAATGAGTTTTACATTTTTTCGAATACCTAGAAATTGCTATGATATGCACAAAAATATCAGTTCTGAATTTTTGCTTTTAGTGTTTGGGTTGATTTTTGTTCGTTTAAGTATATTTTAGACAAATTGACTCAGTAGTCAAGGTTAATGTCATAATGAAAATTCCAAAATCTTTTACCATCACTAATACAAATAAATGCTTTTCTCTGCTAGATAAGACTCCAAATGGCTTACAAAATCTTACATTTACTCTCCAAAATATTTCTCCTTTGCCAATTCTTTTTTTTCTTAATTTTAAAATACTATTTTAATTATTTATTTTTATAGTGTTTTGTAAACACTTTTTTATTATTTTTCTTAACATTTTTAAGGAATCTTTCTTTTTTTCTTTTTTTTTTTTTTTGAGGAATATTGGCGCTGAGCTAACTACTGCCAGTCCTCCTCTTTTTGCTGAGGAAGCCTGGCCCTGAGCTAACATCATTCCCATCTTCCTCTACTTTATATGTGGGACACCTACCGCAGCATGGCGTGCCAAGCAGTGCCACCTCTGCACCCGGGATCCGACCCGGCGAACCCCAGGCCACCGAGAAGTGGAACGTGCAAATTTAACCGCTGCGCCACTGGCCTGGCCCCGGAATTTTTCTTATTATTTTACTTAAAATTCTTAATATTTCTTTCCATTAGTAGCATGAAGAGATTAGAGATGATCAAGACTTCTTTGTGATAGCATGTATGTTGTAATCTGAGCTTTTTCTCCTACAGGTGTCCCTTTCTTAGCATCTTGACTAGCATTTCTATTGTGCTAACTAAAAAAAGGAAGCTTTCTACACTTGTTGTATGTTTATTCTTCACCTTTATCATTATTTTTTGGCAGCTTATCCTGGTGGTTCTCAGTGCCATTGCCCTATTTTACAATAAATATTTTGCAAAATCTCTTTTAATATCCTGTGAAGAACATATTTCTTAGATAAAATAATGTACCTATACACATATTTTCAAAACATACATTAACCTTGTATGTAATATAGAGGAGCACTAAAAAGAAAGTAATTTATAAATAGTGTAATAATAAAAATGTGTATTTCAGTAAGTAAGTACTTAGGCAGGACTTACTGCCAGATTTTTGAGGGGTCACATGCTACGTGGTTCACATGCGTGGAATCACCAAGAAGGCAACAGGTCTAATGCCGCTTGGTACAGGTCTTATTTAGTCTGCCTTTGTGTAGGCAACTGAGACACCAGAAGTAGCTTTCAGTCTTGTTTGTGATTTACTCAGGGTGATGGATAATTCTTTAGTAGAGCTCTGAACAAAGCAAAGTATAGTCTGTTCTTGATTTACATGGTACTTGATTTCTAAATTAGAAAATTCAGAGTATAATGAAAATGTTTAAGAATAGTTCTTATATATAAAAATTAGTTAGGATCTAGGCTCAAATAATTGACAGGATTTTCACCCATACAACGTACAACTCTGCAGGATGTGAGACAGTTGCTCGTTGTGCGGGTATATCTAACATATTGCAGAACGTTTGGCATCCCTGGCGCTTGCTCAGTAGATGCCAGGAACAACTCCCGTTATTTGTGACAATCAAAAATACTCCTGCAGATTTTTAAAATCCCACCTAGGAAGCAGTGCCAACCCCACCAAGTCATTTTTTTCCCTTTAGATTTTTGAGTACCCTGTTGCTCGCCTTTAACACACATTTTATCTATCTTGAGCAAATCTTTGAAGTTATTTCACTCATTGAATATTTGAGCAGCTCAATTTCTGAGACATTAGGAATGAAAAATTAGTTAGCAGCTTTTACAAGGTGATGACTAAAAAGAAAGAAATGGGAATAGTTTTACAGTTTGGTATCATTATTAGATCTCAGACTTACAAATGGTAATTTAATGTATCTAATACTTGTCTCTATTTCTTACAGTTTATCTGTTACTGAGACTTTGAGCTGGGTTTTTAAGTTGTCACAAGCATCTTTATACAAGCTAGGAAAATGATTCATAAACAAAACCTTTTCTGTTCCATTATTATTTTACAGATTTTCTCCCCCTCCTCCTTTTTTTTGGTGAGGATGATTGGCCCTGAGCTAACACCTGTTGCCAATCTTCCTCTTTTTGCCAGAGCAAGAGTGGCCCTGAGCTAACATCTGTGCCAATCTTCCTCTAGTTTGTATGTGGGGTGCCTCCACACATGGCTTGATGAGCAGTGTGTAGGTCTGCACCCAGGATCTGAACCCATGAACCCTGGGCTTCCAAAGTGGAGCGCGTGAACTTAACCACTATGCCACCAGGCTGGCTCCCTTTTTTTGTCTTTTGAATATCAGGTTGTTTTAGTAAATACTGAACTGATATAAAGGAACTGGCCAAACATTTGGTGACTAGTGTTATCCTAGCTATGTGTATATTGGCTGTGTTCTTTTCAAGTAGTACTTGTGAGAAACCTTTTAGAAAACAGCTGTATCCTAACTTGATTTTCTTGATCCTAGTTTTGCAGGCAACTTTGAGAGAAGAGAAGAAACTTCGAGTGGAAAATGCTAAATTGAAAAAAGAGGTTGAAGAATTGAAACAAGAGCTAATTCAGGCAGAAATTCGAAATGGAGGTGATTAAATATAGAAATGATAGGCTGTTTTGATTTATGATAACTATTGTGTCGTTTATTATTTATGAAGTTAGGTATTTGCTTGCTTTCTCGTCTTGTCCTCACAGCAGCCCTTCTCGTGCATTCGTCCCCTCACAGAAGAGATAACGGAGGCTTCTGGAGGCAAATGATCTTGCCTGAGGTCATGCAAAAAGTGGCAAAGCCAAGCCAGGATTCAAGACTGTGCTTTAATCTCTGTACTATACTTCAGCTTGATCATCACTGTTCCCTATTGAATAGCTATTGAAAATAAGCCATAATAATATATAGTTCACATGCACTGAGTTTTGCCATATGCCAGTGCTTCCCATATATTATATATTTTATCCTTAAAGTTATGTGTATACAGATATTCTTGTTTTATACGTGAGGAAATGGAAGATTAGAGCTATAAAGTAAATTGCCTGAAATCATAATTTTTAGATTATCCAAGTCAGCAGATAATTATCCTTTCAACTGTTATGTTGTAAATAAAATTTAAAATTTTATTGAATTATTTTAAAGATGTCTAGGTAAATTTACATTATTTGAAAACATTAGTAATAATGGTTCTATTACAATTTCAAAGTACCACACAGAAAGGCATTTGGCTGTATTGTAGAAAATCCTTTCTAGGTGGGTTAAGGAGGCCCAAGTGTAGTCAGAGCCTCTCGCTACTTCCTTTTGACTGTTATTCTGCTGTGAATCATGCTGAATGCTTGGCATGAACTCTGCCCTTAGTGAGCTTAAGTAAAATAAGGGAAAGTCAATAATGTATGCTTAAAACTATCGAGAAACATTGTTTGTCCATGGAAAATTTGGGGCTTGTCGATGTTTTCCAAGACTAGGAGATTTGGAATACAGGTACCGAATTAAACAGTTAAAATATTAGCAATGTAAAGCTGCTTTTCATTTCTCTTCAGTTCTAGAAGATTGCCCTGAAACATTAAACTTCTAAACTCCAGTCTTATTAATGAAGTGCTAAAACAAATCAATAGTTTGCCTTAAAGTATTGAATTCTGTCTAATGAAACATAAAATAGGGGTAGCTGGAGCTTCCTTTACTAAAGGAGAAGCAGCCCCTGGGGAACTTAGACATACCTCAGAAAAGTGGTCTGGATTGGCTAGAATCTGTGCCGCTTCGGCATCCTTCACAAGATTATGTTTCTCCATGGTCACTAGGCTTATAAGAATGTTTTCAACATTGCTGAAGGAATTTTCTTTGCGTTTTTTAGAAAGTTTTTTTTTGAAATAGAATTATGGACAAGTAATGCTGTCTCTCCATTAATTCCACTAATATAGAAATGACTATTATTAAAACACCTTCCCAGTTGATTGTTCAGTATGAAAGAAAGCCTGAGTGAAAAGCGTGCTGTTGTGCTAAGTCAGGAGGGTATAGTCTCTGAGACAGACTGCCTGGCTGTACATTCTTCCTCGTCTCCCCACTGTGTGTGATGGCCAGCTTTTTAACTTCTCTGTGGCTCAGGTTGATCACCTGTAATTGGTGGTATGAACAGAATTTACTGCTCAGGGTATTCATGAGATTTACACAAATTAATTCGTGTAAAGCATTTTGAAAAGTACCTGGGACATAATAAGTCCATAAATATTAGCTATTATTGTTGTTATCTGTAATTTTCTCAGTTTAGTTTTTAGTGATTAAACGAGAATCATGCATTTATTTTTTTTTTATTTATATTCTTTTGTTTTTTTTGAGGAAGATTAGCCCTGAGTTGGCATCTGCTGCCAATCCTCCTCTTTTTGCTGAGGAAGCCTGGCCCTGAGCTAACATCCATGCCCATCTTCCTCTACTTTGTATGTGGGACGCCTACCACAGCATGGCTTGCCAAGCGGTGCCATGTCTGCACCCGGGATCCGAACCAGCGAACCCCGGGCTGCCAAAGTAGAACGTGCGCACTTAACCGCTGTGCCACCAGGCCAGCCCCCCATTTATTCTTTTATCGTGATTAAAATATACTTAATTTCTTGTCAGCCTTTTTACAGTCTCAGACAGTAGAGATTTGATAATCGTATACAGTGACATTCTCTTTTGAAAGTTCATATTTGTATCACAGTTCCATAGTTTTCATCTTGTGTGTTGGTTTAATATGACTGACATTATCTATTTCATTTTCTATATCAGTGAAACAGATACCGTGCCCATCTGGTCCTTCATTGCGAGCTGAGTCTCCAGTTTCTGAAAATGTGGTACAGTCTATGCCAATCACAACCATGTCTTCTGGAGCCAAAGAACAGATAAAAGGAGGAGGAGGAGAAGAAAAGAAGGTGAAAGAGAAAATGGAAAAGAAAGGTATTTTTAACCTTTAAGGTTATTTGGCCCCTGACTGGTTTATCAGATGTCAACATTTTTGATAATAATTATGATGTCAAAAAGAAAGTCTAAACTTTTATGAACTAGAATAAAGTTAGGAACAATATGATGTTGGAACATAGAAGCTGGGCTCTAAGGGATGTGTGACGTTGACCAGGTGGACAGGTAAGAGTTGCATTTGAGGTGGAGGGCCCAGCATAACTGAACACACAGAAGGTAGAGATTAAGTGTAGAGGCCCTCACGTAGTTCGGTGTGACTGGATTTTGGTATACATTTGGGGGATAGTTTCGGAGAAGTCACAGGTAGAAAGTTAGCCTAGGACCAGTTGTGAAGATAGGAAAAGGATATTCCAGTCAAAGCAAAGTGTCTGAGGTCAGTCGTGGAGGTGTTAAGGTTTTAGGAACTGGTGAGAGCTGAAGCAGAAAGTACATCCCCGTCTGCTTTGGCCTCCAGACTAGGAATCTTACAGCCACCCTTACCCTGTCCCTCCCTCAATTTTCCCATCTAATCGGCTGACAAAGCCTGTGATTCCTACCACCAGAGCATATCTGGGACAGCTGTGTGCCTCCATTGTGTTAGGCACTACCTTAGTTCAGGTTGTCCTGGTCTCTCATCTGATTTAGTGTTAAAGCCTCGTGTTTTCTAGTTTATCCTTACCTTGCTGCTAAAACAATTTATCTAATCATAAATGTGATTCCTTTTTTACCTACTTTCCTTTACTGCTTTCTAGACTTTATTTCCTCAGATATGTCTAAAAAAGTGTTTTTAAAATTCATTGTACATGCCTTATAATACTTACACTCATTTAAAATATTTTGGAAAATATTAAATGGCTGAGAGATTTGTGAACGAATCTAAGCCAACTTAGCATCTGACACTCATCAGTTCCTTTTGGTAAACATTGGTAGCCTCTGTCGGTTAGAAGTAGACAGGGGCTGTACATCCTCTCGTACATAGCTTCACCACTAGGTGGTATGGTTACAGTGAAAGCAAGTCAGACTATTTCTTCCACTTTATAAAATTTATTAGGAAGTAGGTACAAAACAATCGTACAGCCTGTTCTAAGTTTGGTGAAGTTGTACTCAGAGGATGCGTTGTTGTTGTGACTGCAGGATCAGTCAGATTTCTAGTCAAATGAGACAGTGGTCTTCCTCTGTGGGAGTAGGGCACATGAGACCTGCTGGAGCTCTAGGCGTACGACACGTCCATCCAATGGAACTTTCTGGATGGTGGAAATGCTGTATAGCTGGTTATCCAGCACAGCAGCCAATATCCACACATGGCTGTTGAACATTTGAAATGTGTCTAGTGTGACTAAAGAACTGAATTTTTAATTATTTTAAATTTAAATATAAATAGCTGTGTGTGGTGACAGCTACCGTATTTGACAGTGCTGGACTAGAGGGATGTTCCATGGGTGTTTGGCTGCCAGGATTGCCACATGCCAAATTTCTGTGCATGCAAGGGCTGTGGTGCCCATGCAGTCTTTCTAGACTGCCACATGTGAGCGTCACTCATTTGCCAATGAGACGTTTCTAAAATCCCTTATGATGACTCACAAAGTTCTTGGTATAGATTTTAATATTTGCAGTTACCTCTGGAATGTGGATTCCTGATAAAGGTATTTCAAATGCCTAGGAAGTAGATTAAAGTTAAAAATATATATGGATATAGATATATCATACTGTTATACTGCAGTATTTTAAAGTAAATATATAGTGTAGCACTCAAAGATTACTACTATTAAGATTTTTGGTGTATAGTCTTCTAGTAATTTTGTATATATACTTCTTTATTGTTTGGGTTTTCACCATTAAAAAAATCTTTACTAATATGTTACATGGAAAGTGGTATTCTTTTAATTTGCTCATGAGATTAAAAGTTGTGTGTTGTTTTGAACTAGCTCTGCCTCCTCTTTTGTGAACTGCTTTGTATTAATTGTGAATGTCCTTTACACAAAAAGCGTCCTTTCCCACTCCAGGCATTCTGTGCTTCTGTTCTTCTCTGTGCATCTATAATTCTTTGTGTATGTAATGTTTATCATATGATCATTATATACATCTGTCTTCCTTAAAAGCGACTTTCTGTACCTTGATAGCATGGGCCACTCATTACTGTTTCCAGTGCCTTAGATGTCAGGAAATATTTATTCAAAGATTAAACAAAGCTATAGTTGGGAAGGAATGCTTCCAAGCCATATTAGCTTGTTGTACCTTGCAGATCAGAAGATAAGTTTTTATTTTGTTTTAGTTTTTTTCTGCACAAGAAACTAAATGTAAACTTAAGGAATATGAACTCGTTACAGGTTGCATTTTGACTTAATGGCTAAAGTAATCATATGCTAATAGGAATTAGATTATCAGCATTTACATAAAATTAGGATTTTTAAAACATAATGAGAATAAAATGTTCTCTTCTGCTCAAATGGTTGCTGTGGATAAACCTAAAGCCCTAATAAGTCTTCAGGGAAATAAAAGAAATGTAGACATTCATTGTATACCTACTTGTGTGTTTAACTGATGAGAGAAACATTTTATCAGTGAAATTACGTTTGCTTGTAGTTCATTCTTTTGGTTGGCTACTGATTGTGGTGTTCTTTCTAAATAAAGGATTTTTCACTCTCTAAAGAGTCACAATAAAAATTTTAAAGAATGTTCTACAGCCCTGTTTCAGAGGAAGGCAAGCTTTCTCTGTACAGGACCATTTAGTAACTATGTGAAGCTTTGCAGGCCATGCAGTCTATGTCACAGGTACTCAACTCTGCCGTAGTGCAGAAGCATCCGTAGACAGTATGTAAATGAATGGACGTGGTTGTGTTCTAGTAAAACTTTGACAGAAACATGCAGTGGGCTGAATTTGGCCCATGAGCGATAGTTTACCAACCTCTACTCTATGTCTTTAACTAGAGAGATATACAGTTATTCAACAGAGAAATAGCCAAAATAGGGTTGAAGATGTTAGGACTTGAATAATTCTTTCTTTTGTTATTTAAGTGAAGGTAGACATAAACACTGTTTTTTTCTTTTAAGCTCATCAGTATCCGCGCTGTGGAGTTTTTATAGTGTACTTTTGTTTTACTTCTGATGTTTACCCATTCATAAATATTTTTTAGGAGAGAAAAAGGAGAAAAAACAGCAATCAGTAACAGGAAGTGCTGACTCTAAACCAATAGATGTTTCCCGTCTGGATCTTCGAATTGGTTGTATCATCACTGCCAAAAAACACCCTGATGCAGATTCTTTGTATGTAGAAGAAGTAGATGTTGGAGAAACAGCCCCAAGAACAGTTGTCAGTGGCCTGGTGAATCATGTTCCTCTTGAACAGGTACTCTGTACAACTAAAGTTACTTCTACATGCACGTCACCTTTGTTCCCTCTTTCTTGATGTTTTTCCATATATTATCTTATCAGATGACCACACAACATGAGTGCATATTGATTAGTTCACTTGATTAGTTTGAATGGATGAATTTCATCGTAAAAGTACATAAAACTACCACAGCTTTGCATAAGATCTATAAATTAGAATCGAATTCATGAGGATAGGTAAAAAAGGTATATTATTCTCTCTCAATTTTAAAAAATGTTTTTAGTTTGGTATTTTCTATAAAATACAACATATATATTTTTATCATCATTGTGCCATCGTGGAATTTTATTATTCCTTGATTTTTTTAAACCACTATTATATAAACTCAGAAAGCTCAAATCTAAAATCTAAAAGAGAACAAGTTTTATTTCTTTATAACTCAAGAAATATTTTCATACTTAAAGAAAAATGAGGAGAAGGGATCATGGAGTTTGAATTTGCAATTTTTAGTGGTATTCTTTTATTTGTTAAAAATTGGATGGTTTGTATTTTATTGTCACATAGGTATTTAAAAATATATGTTCATATGTATGTACATATATATATTTCCATTGGAAAGAATCAAAAACAGCAATAATTTTTAATTTACTCTTTCAAGACATCTTCTATAGTAATTTGAATCATCTACTATTTCCTCTGCCCTGTGGTGCTTGAGAACATTGCAAAGACCATGGACTTCAATATTAAGATAGTTCTGCTTCTCTGTTTATTGCCAGCTCTGTTGCTTATTGGCTTTGTGAACTTGGACATATTTCTACATTAATTCATATTTCTAGATGCAAATATTTATCGAGCACCAACAGTGTACCAGGAACTATTCTAGGCAAGGGATACAGCAGTGAATTAAGATAGAACGATTTTTTTTTTTCTTAAAAAAAGTCCTGCCTTTGTGAAGTTCACATTCCTATGGGGGAATCAGAAAATTTTAATATATATTAAATGTATATAGTATATCTTAAATAATGGTAAATATCAAAAGAAAAATAGAGAAATAATCTAGAAAGTGCTGAGTCTAGGATGGTGCTGTCATTTTATATAAAGTGGCCAGAGCTGTAAAGACAGTGACATTTAAGTAAAGGTCTAAGAAAATTAAGAAAACAAGTCGTGTGTCTATCTGATGGAAGAGCCTTTCAGGCAGCCCTGAGTCAGATGTTTGCCTGGGGTGTTCAAAGAAGAGCAGGAGGCATTGTCACTATAGCAGAGTAAATAAGGGGGAAGGTCACGCAAGATAAAATCAGAGATAAGGGTGCCACATGCCATAGGGTCTTATGGATCATTTTAAAGTCTGGCTTTTATTCTGAGTGAGATGAAAGCCATTGGAGGAGTTTTGAGTTTGGGAATAACATGGTCTGCCTCACATATTAATAGGATCATCTGGCTGCTCTGTTGAGGGGAGAAAGATGGACTTAAGGAGTTTAGTGAAGAAGCTTCTCTTATCTATGAAAAAAAAGACACACTTGGCACATATGTGTTCTTTTTTTTTGTTTTTAGCATTCATCTTGTATAGGACCAGGACTCCTTCAAACCACTTATGAAGTTAGATTCATAGGACCCCTGGAGAAAAGAACCAACTGATCTTGAGCCAGCTTAAATTGGAAAAACTCCTCTCCACTGGGGCTTATCTTTTTTGTTCTCATAAGTTGCAGACTATTTCTTCTCTTCTAAAAGCTGTCATTCACAGCCATACGCAAAGCTGTTTATATACACATCTGTATCTAACCCATCAAGACAGTACTGGAAAGCATTCTATAAAGCAGAGGCACTTAGGCCCCTAAAATTGCATACTAAATTTTGTAGATTTGTGTATTTTTCTAAGGCAAAGGTCCACAACCATCATCTGATCCTTAAAGCATTGCATCCACCTAACCCTTTGTTTTTCTTACACATACTGCTGTAATGTTTTTTTTTACATTCTCACATATGTGGGATCTTCAAGTTATTTGTTTGAAGGAGAGTCTTATTGATGAAGACTTCCAAAAAGAAGGGGCCTTTTGAATTTGAATCTTAGGCCCATTTGTTTTTTAACCATAGAATGTGGGGATAGGGGCCGGCTCCATGGCTGAGTGGTTAAGTTCGCACGCTCCACTGCGGGGGCCCAGGGTTCGAATCCTGGGCGTGGACATGGCACCACTTGTTAGGCCACGTTGAGATGGCGTCCCACATCCCACAACTAGAAGGACATGCAACTAAGATATACAACTGTGTACAGGGGGCTTTGGGGAGATAAAGCAGAAAAAAAAAATGTGGGGATAAGTTTGCATATAACATTTATTTATAAAACCGTCTTTTGTCTAGAATGTGTCTTTTTCACACCTGCAGTGATAGTCCTCTTGTATGTTATTTTATTTTAAACCTGTTGAAAGGCTTTAAACAACTGTGTTCCTTATTTTTGCTAGTTATGGAAAAAATTAGGACGCTTCAGGTTTAGAAGGTTAAAGAAATTTCTGTTCACTTCTATAATGAATTGTGGAACTAGCCCTAAATGTTAGTCGTAGTGGCGTAATGCTTGAATTGTTAAATAATCAGTATTTTTTAAATTAGGAAATGAATCTTGCATGGTATTGGAAATGATCAAATGTGTAGGGAACAAAATGTGCATTTATTTTAGTGCTGACGCTAAGCTAAATGTTTTACATACGTTATTATGATAGAATCCTTGTGACTACTATTTAAGTTCAATATCATTTTCCTCATTTTGTGAGGAAACAGGGAGATCAACTTTATACAATCCCATTGCTAGTACATGGCAGCTGAAATTCAAAACCAAGTCCTTTTCACTCAGTCATTTATTTATTTATTCATTTAGTAAATATTTAACTGAAAGCTTTGCCTCTGCTCTTTCAACTATGATGCATTGTTAGTTTGTAGAATTTTTTTTCACGTTCGTATAAGCCTTCACAACAACAATAAAAGATTTTGGACGCACAGAGACAAAGATACATCCATAGAAATAAAACATTTGCTATTTAGCATATTAGATGTACCTTATTGCACTCTAGGTATAATTATTCTAAATCTCTATACATCGTTAACCACCAGTTTGTGTTTCACACAGCTGCAAAATCGGATGGTGATTTTACTTTGTAACCTGAAACCTGCAAGGATGAGGGGAGTACTATCTCAGGCAATGGTGATGTGTGCTAGTTCTCCAGAGAAGGTTGAAATCTTGGCACCTCCTGATGGGTCTGTTCCTGGAGACAGAATTACTTTTGATGCTTTTCCTGGTAAGCATCTCTTGGTCATTATTTGAAATCATTTGGGAATCATTGTTCTCAAAGCGATGCTTGTAATGTTTGAGTTTAAAATCAGTCCTGTGTATGATTCACAAGGCTTTACATTAAATGAACAGTATTGTAGAGATTATTATTATTGAGTTTATTCAGGTTGGCTCAAGATGGCACATTGAGTACAACCGTCTAACCATCCCCCTCCCCGAGAATACACAAATTACATAAAACACCAGAGAGAGATTTCACCCTAGGGAAAACACTAATAATCATACCTATGTAGCAGAAGAGTGCGATATGGATAGAGAACAAATTAACGTGCTGTGAAATCATTTAGGCTGTAGATTATCTCAGATACAACATTGAAAGACGAAGAGATGAAGAGTTCAGACATATATCTGAGTGTATAGTTCTCAAAGTCCATCTAATAATACACTTGGATATGCTTTTACTTGACTTTAGGATATGGAAAATCTCTAAGTTAAAACTCATATTTATTTTAATAATCTAAAAGGAAGTTTCATTTCATATTGCTTATTTTCTCCAGTAAAATAATCCTGAGACAGATGAAGCTTCATAATGCGTGAGACAGTTTCTTCAAATAGGTCTTTGAAGCGGAAGAGAAAGGATGCTTGGCAGATGTAGAATAAATATTTCTCTTATAAAAGAGGAAGGACCGTATTAGAGGAAAAACAATTAGAAATTGAAAGACTGCATTTACTCAAAGGATGTTCATTTGACTAGAGCAATGGGAAAAGCAGAAATAAATTAGGGTAACAAGTAGAATTAGGTTTAAAAGTCAAAATTGATTTGGAGACATTATTTGTAGAAACAGCTGAATTTTAATGGAATAGCAAGGCTGATGTGATTATATAGGCCTGTTTTTTTAATCCTTGTTAGCTGTGTTTGATGAAATATTAGGATGTGAAGAATTTTAACATCGGAATAAAATGGGGTTAATTTCCCTAAAGCTTGGGTTAATTTCCTTGAAACTCGGCACCTCCCTCCTAATCCAAAGTAGACAAATCTAAAAACCACAGGAATTGTTTTACAAGCATCCATGACTTTGAGTGCATGTGTATGTCTTGAACTTTGGTAGATTGGAAACCATAAATGCTCTGTGCTCTAAGAACCTTTTTTGGTATATTAGGTTTGGAAAAATCGTAGTCTGATTCATTTCTCAAAGCAGCATGATGGTTTTAGATTTTAGGAGAATATGGTCACCACTTCACTACCACGATATAGAAACACTTTCCCAAACCTCACACTTTGGCGTAAGCCTGACAAACCTGAAATTCAACTTAGAAGTCTCATTCACTAGATTGGAATAGAATGACAATAAAAATAAAGTTTTTCTTTTAAGATTTAGCATGCATTGAAAAAAAACCCAACTAAATCTTGGTTTTACTTTTCCAGATTGACATTTGCCTTCTTTTCTATTTAAATACTTAAGAGTTGGTACATTTTTTAAGTTTTATTTTTTGATATAAATTGTAGTTACATGTTTAGAACTGGAAGAAATCATCTGCTTTAACCCACTATTTTACAAATTTGGAAACTGAGGCTCGACAAAACTTAGTTACTTGCTTCAGGTGCTATAGAGTTAGTAGAATGATCAAACAATAGGTGTGCCTGAATCTCTAATAACATAGCATTTTTGTTTGTTGATTGTTGCATGCTGTGAATTAATATGAACTGTTTCATTCCTGAAGCTTATAGTTCTTTCGTTTCTATGACAGCTCTCATTCCCTTACCTCATAGAACTAAAGGGTAAATATTTCAGCACTTGAATCAATTGTTAGTATCTGGATGTTACTGTAGAGTAAATGGAAAGAAAGTTTTCTTTAGTTGCTCAGTGACTTAGCGTTAGAGACGCTAATAGCCCAGTGTTGGTTTCTTGCCTTTACTGTATTCTTGGATCTCTCAGTTTGGCTATTTGTGTATTTTTATGTACATTGTTCCAAAGTTTGGTATTTCTTCCAAATTCATAGTTTCCCCTTGTGCCGTAGAATATGGATATATGGAGAAGATGCAGAGCATATTTGAGAGTGAGAGGGAAAGCCCAGCTGTCAAGTGGCCCTGAGGCTGCTTGACTTGTTCTGTTACCCCTTATAAAGGGCTTGACCAGGCCGAACAGCATTCAATAACTGATGGATTTTGGGACATGAGGTCTGTGAATACTCATCTTACTTATGCTTCCCCATCAGTTACTGCCTCTGTAGCAATAAATCTGAGAGGAAATAACAGTTAATGCTACGTAACAGACCATTAGTCTTCCTGTTTTTTTTTCTTTTTCCAGAGAGAGCCATGATTTATCGGTGCTTTATTTCTCAGCATCTGTTTTACGTTTTAAAGCTTAAGGTGTCTGTTCGTACATTTTGATGTTCACTTGATGGGCTCAGTGTCCAGAAGTTTACATTTCTTGTTGTTTATATTAAGTGTGGCATAGAAATTGCAGTTGGGGCTTAAATCTTTGAATTACTCTTTGGCCTTGAAAAGGCTTGTACTTAACAACTATTTTCTCCAACTAGAAAACCAAACACTTCCATAGAGCTTCGAAGATGCCAAATAATATTTCTATAACAATGGCTAAAAACCCTCCCTATCCAGCACTTGTTAAATCTTAAATGTCCTATAAATTTTAGTATTTAAATATGGTAACTGATCCCTAAAACACTCAAGCAAAAATAACTTGAAAATAATATTACAGCTAGGAGACAAAGGCAATGACAGCCCTTTTTTGAGAGTGTACTGTTTTGGGTCTAATAATAAGTGAGAATTGGCATTCAGACTTTTAACTTCCAAGATCATTCTTATTTCTGTTGATATTGAGTCTTATTAGTAAATATAAATTAATGGTTAATCACAAAACATGTATGATATGCAAGAGTGTTTAACTTTTGGATCATTTATTATTTTAAAACAAAGCAAAAAGTTGCCTATATTTGATTCTTCTCTTTAAAACTGGTTTCAGTCAGGTTTTTCTCCAGTCTTCTACCAGAACTGCTCTGATCAAGATCACCAGTTACTCTGGTAGCTAAATATGCAAGCTGGTTCTCAGTCCTTCTCTTGGTTACCTTGGCGTCTGGCACTGCCCTCTCCTGGTGGTCCTCCTGCTTCTCTGGCTATCCTTCTCATCTCCTAGTGGATTCTTCCTCCTCTCTGATCTCTTAACATTGGATTGCCCCAGACCTCAGTCTAACCTCTTTTTCTTTCCACATTCATTCCCTTGACTATTTTATCCAGTCACTTATCTGGCTGCCTACTAGACTTCACTCCCATGTCCCAAGGCAGAAAACATATCCCAGTATGCCCCTAGAATTCCCTTTTCCATCATATTTCCCATCTTATCTGACAGGAACTCCATTCTCCTCACTGCTTATTTTCTCACACATCTTCTTCAGAAAACTCTAATGGCTGTACCTTCTGAACATATCTAGAATAATTCTCATCATCACCACCACCACCACTTTGGTCCTGGTGCCAACATCTCTTACCTGGATAATTGCAAAGCCTCCTGAGTGATCTGCTTTTGCCCTTCGTCTGTTTTCGGTTATGGCACACAGAGTGATCTGGGTCAGACTGTGTTACAAACTCTGCTCAGAGCTGTTCAAAAGCTTTCCATTGGACCCAGCGTCTGAGCCCCATCCTTCCAGCAGCCTCCTGTTGTCTCACACACTCCAGTGCTTCCTCTGTCCCTCCAGTTGAGCCACTGGCTCTTTTCCCAGGTGGCTACATGGCCTGTTCTCTCATCCTATTCAGATCTTTCAAGTGTCATCTTCTTTGTTTCATTTTTCTCCAAAACACTTATCATCATCTAATATACATTATTTATTGCCTGCCCACACAGAAATATAAGTATCATGAAACCAAGATTTTTGTATTATTCACTGCTGTATTTCTAGCATCTAGAAAAATGCCTGGCATGGACTAGGAGCTCAATAAATGGATTAATGAATAAATAGAAAGAAATGTACTAGTAAAATGTGTAAAAAAAAAAAAAACCAAACCAGTATTGGGAGGGCAGACCTGAGTATCTGCCTATATTATTGCCAAGATCGTTCCTATCCAACCACCAAACCACTTTTCTCTATTGGTTAGTTTTGTTAAATTAATTGACCGTATTTACAGAGTTATACTTTAGTTTTTATACCACAAATGTGGCGATAGTTAGAATTATAGTTCAACAACTCAGTTAATCAAACATAAAACAATTAACCTAGTGCTAGACTTTTTGTGGCTATGGCAGGTGTCACTGAGAAACTGATGGTCAGTCAGCATTCTTTGCAAAAGAATGGCCTAATTAAAATGAAGCTTCTGGTTCTTACTTGAACTTGTGAGTGCCTGGAACTCTGGAATTTGCATTTATTACTTTTGTAGGTTTTAAATGCTGAGAAAAGGTGATCACAGTTTTTACATCTGTACAAACTCCTCTCTGACCAGTTCCCATTCCCGTGTGTTCCGTTTAGAATGAGTTGGCCTAAAATAATTTCTGAATGATTTGTTCTCTTATGATACATGTAACCATTTCCAAATGGTGATTATTGGCACGTGTTTAGCATTTTCGGAGGCTCTGCAGTTTTAAGAACTTTTATTAATATCATAATTTACCTTCTTTGGATAGTTGTGCCAAAAAAAGAAAAGAAAGAAAAGAAAATTAGGAAAATAAGATTTAGAGGAAGGACAAAACACACAGGAATCATGAAACACTTCTTTGGAAAATATAGTTCATTAAAAAAAGTTATTTGAGGGGGCTGGCCCTGTGGCCGAGTGGTTAAGTTTGCCTGCTCCGCTGCCGTTGCCCAGGATTTCACCGGTTCGAATCCTGGGCATGGCCATGGCACCACTCATCAGTCCACGTTGAGGCGGCGTCCCATATGCCACAACTAGAAGGACCTGCAACCAAGATATACAACTATGTACCGGGGGGATTTGGAGAGATAAAGCAGGAAAAAAAAAAAAAAAAGATTGGCAACAGTTGTTAGCTCAGGTGCAAATCTTTAAAAAAAAAAAGTTATTTGAAATGACAGGTGTGTTTTTCATAGCAAGTGATTCAAGCTTTTGTTTCGAACTAGCTCTGTACCCTACCAAATAGTATGACGTTGAGAAACATTCCAGTGAGAAGGTTAGCACTGCAACCAGACTTTCCAGCTCTGAGTGTATTCAGTGATCACAAGGGGACAGGTTTTGACAGTAATCTCACTAGCTTAGTTGTCTGGATCCTCGTTTCATTTATTGATTTGTTAAGTCTTGCAGCTGCATTCAGAGTTGAGGTGCTGAGTCTGGTGTGTGAAAAGCAGCAGTCAGCTTTGGAGGTTCCTCTTCCTAGTTTCTAGTTTATTTTTGGTTCAGGTCTTTGTTCCTTGAAAATTATGACAGTCTTAATGTAAAACTTTAGAACTTCTAGATCTTGGCTCCACAAGTGCTGGGAGACCTGGGAACCTTTCTGAGCCTCAGCTTTTTCATTTCTAGGAAGGGGTTTCTAGAGGCATCTATCTCATGGAGGTTTTGTGAGGTTTAACTTTTGAAACACTTAGCTACCTGCCTGGTATTTTAAATAACTTTTGTGCCTCAATTTCCTCGTCTGTAAAATGAGAGTAGTGGATAGTATTTGTTCGTGTTCTGAGAGGATTAAATGAATAAATGGACGAAAGCACCTAGTGCAGGGACAGGCACGTAGCAAGCACTACTTGTGTAGTGCTTCAGTGTTATGTGTCGTGAAGATTGTTGTTTCTACACGTCACTGTCTTCCTAGATCTGAGAAGCTTAATTTTGTGCTGCACCACAGCTTTTTGTACTTGGGGCTTATATCTGCATTCAGCAAGAATTTACCCACACAGTCTAGACTCGTGAAAAGAAGCTTTTACACAGATCTGGGATGCTCTGCTTCTTGAATTAATTATCAGTTTGGCAGCATCTTTTGGGGGGGATTCAGGTTTAGTATTCAGTCCTCCTCAAACAGTATCTCTGCCTCTAACTTTTCAGAATTCTGGAATGCCCATTTTCCTACATCCTCTGGGCACATGCAAAGTAGGATTATGCTTAGACTAAGGAATGGTTTAGAAAGAAAAATTAAAAATCTTGTAGGTATTTTATATATTGGGTTTTTTTCTCTTCTGTTTGTTAGTTTCCGTGTTGTCCAACCAAGTGAACTTAAAGGAGTAAGAAAAATCCTCATCTTTTATACTAGTCAGTCTTTCAATTTTAATTTCATTGCATATTATTCTACTGTAGATACATCGTTCAATTAACTATTCTGTCATCTCTGAAAACCTGCATATCAGAGGACAATTTTGTATGTTCTTGCCAGTTTCTTGGCAGTTTCTGAAGAGCTAATAAAGAACAAAACCACCATGGCCAACCAATTTGTTCAGTGTTCTTATATATATATACATTATATGTGTGAGTAGAGAATAAACACCAGCTTAGATAGATGTAATCAGAATATAGACTATAATTAGTTCTAGTAATGTTTAAAACATTCTTTTTAAAGTAATTCTAAGAGATTTCAACTTGGGAGTCACTTAAAAAAAGATATAGAAAGTTCTATTTCTATCATTATTGAATTATACCTTAGTAATATTCTTTTTGTTACCTCCAAGAAAATCATTTTCCATTCGAAGCTAACACTTAGAGATACGTTACTTTTCTTATTGTTTCTTGAACTGATTCTTCATTCCAAATGTTATTGAACATCCCCGGCTACTAGAATGATGTTGAATTAAATGTTACCTCCTTATCATTCATTAAGTAGAGGGATTGCTTGCTATACTGGTGGTCTTTAAGTCTAGACCAGATACATTCTACAATGTGTTTGTCTTTTATTGATTGTAAACTTTAGAAGGTGAGTTACTATAAAGAGAGGGGATGGGGTATTATCTACATGTAAGAGCATTATTTGTTTCGTGTCTAAAGCGTAGTTTATCAGGAGGCAAGGTTCTGTGCTCATAGAACAAGGGCTTGGGTGCTGAATCCTGGCTTCACTTGTTGATTGTGTGACTTTGAGCAATTTATCTTCTCTGAGCCCCAATTTCTTTATATTTAAAGAGTCAGTGTTGTTGTGTGTATTGCATGCAACAACAAATATTCCTGGTACTTAGAAAATACTAGTCCTTGTCTCCTTACTACCCCTTTCTGTCTCTCCATCTCACCAAATGGAGTGAACAACAGATATTACCCAAAGTAGTTACATTTAGCTAAATAATCCCAGCATTTAAACCATTCTCCAGTATTGATAAGAAATCTTCAAGCACTATAGCAGCAATCTAGTCATTTATTTTGTGTATTGAAACACATAGCACAGCATAAGCTGCTTTTGCCACGTGTAAAAATATAACACATCAAATTATGCTGTCGTCTCTTCACAGTTTTTCTTTATGTGTAGTGATAAAATGAGTATCATATTTTTGTTTCAATAATTTGAGAAATAAATTCATTGAATTATATTACCTACAAAAATATTTATTGTAAGAGTAAGAAATAATGTCTAACATTTGGAAGGAAATGACAAAATATTTTATTTTATTTTACTAATCAAGAACATATGGGGGCTGGGCCCATGGCCGAGTGGTTACGTTTGCACGCTCCGCTGCAGGCGGCCCAGAGTTTCGTTGGTTCGAATCCTGGGCGCAGACATGGCACTGCTCATCAAGCCATGCTGAGGCGGCATCCCACATCCCACAACTAGAAGGACCCACAATGAAGAATATACAACTATGTACTGGGGGGCTTTGGGGAGAAAAAGGAAAAAAATAAAATCTTTAAAAAAAAAAAAGGAATATAAACTACGGGCATAAAAATAAGGTAAATGTTAAATTCTGATCAAGTCTAAAGATCAGAAAGTGCTGCCAAGATAATTCACTAGAAATCTCTCCGGACAATTTATTTAATATGTTAATGATGTATTTTGTTTTTCCCCAACAGGAGAGCCTGACAAGGAGCTGAATCCTAAGAAGAAGATTTGGGAGCAGATCCAGCCTGATCTTTACACTAATGATGAGTGTGTGGCTACATACAAAGGAGCTCCCTTTGAGGTGAAAGGGAAGGGAGTGTGCAGGGCTCAGACTATGAGCAACAGTGGAATAAGATAAAACGCTTCAGTTACTGAAGTACACTGGAGAAAACTAACAACAATAAAGAGAAATAGGTTTGTCACTTGTACCTAAAATGTAGCTGGCTCATTTTTGTCTTATTTCTCTTCTAGACTTGACTAGTGTTTTACCTGGTATCTGTTGTTTTCATTTGATTGGGGAAACACTGCATTTTCACCTATGGTTTTTGATCCTTTATAATGTAGGGAGGAAATTGCCTTTGTTTTGTGATGATTTACTTTTTAGTGGGAATGTTGGTTGGCAGGTTGTTTTTTCTTTATACACTTAGATAACTTGAACTAGGTTAACATTTAGTTTCTTATTTGTAGGCACATGGTGCATGAAATTTCAAGCCCCTGGATTTTTAGTATATTGTGTATCTATATTATAAATGTCCTCTCCTTTTCAAAAATGGCAAGTTAGAATTCTTGTCAGGCTTATTAACTGTTCATATTGTAATAATATTGAAAATGACCAACTGTTGATTCTAGAGAGCCGAAACTCATAAAGCTAGGAGACGTGGCATTTGAATGTTGCTGCTATTGCTTGCCAAAGTAGCCCAGACTTGTATACTTAAGGTGACTTTTTTAAAGACTGGAATTTCCAACTGTGTATTGAACTTTTTCTTTCCATTTAGCAAATTAGTAATAAATTTTGACCAACTCTGAAGAATAAACACAATTCAAAGTGTTGCCAATGTAGTTTCTAATAAATTGACCATAAAAGCAGCAGTCTATTTTTTTTATTCTGGCTGACTTACAAAGATTCTTTGGGTACTTAATAAAGATTATTTATAGCTTATTATCTTTAGAAGAGTATTTAAGATTGATATATTTTACTTTTTCATTTACCACCATACTGACAATATATTAAAAGAAATTATAGCCAAAAACTTAACATACATATGCATTAAGGTGTCAAATGCCTATTTTCACTCATCTTGCAGATATTGTGGGAACAATGAAAATTAACTTAGGAACTATGAGCTTCAAGTTCACCACCTTTGAGATGTTGACTGATGATCTGGGCTACCAAAAAAGAAATGCATCAGTGGAGGTAGGAGTATAGATATTGTTTAAAAGAAAAATCACACATGATACTCTAGCACTATAGCTGTTTATAGCCTCCAAAAAGGAGAGGCAAAACCAGAAATTTCCAAACACGCTGCATGCAGCATCGTAAAAAGTATAAAGTTCATTTATTTAAGTCTATGGAGTTCTGGTAGGCCGGGATATGATACCATCATAGAAGTTTTATCTTCTTTCTGAAAAACTGATGTTAACAGACTATCATTAACTTCTGTTGATAACTAAACACAAACAAATTTCAAAAGTTATTTTGTATCTGAGATACATTACTCTTGTGAATAAAGACTGTGAAGTCTTCTGTGATTCTGTATTTTCTAATTTTCCCCAGTTATATTAAATTTCCTTAAATAATTTTAACATGATTTAAAGAATGTTTCAGCTACTTGGGTAGTTGAAATATTTATTCCAAATTTTTCAAGTTACATGAAAGCATTAATCAGATTATCAATGTAGCGCCATTTAGTCTTTGTTTTTACAGAAAACTTAATTCTGTTTTATTTGTATTGCTGGGATCAAAGAGCTCTTAGAGAATCAACAAAAAAGAAAGGCATAGTTAGCAAACTGGACATAACCCTCTGGCTTCTGACTGGTTTTCAGCCTTTTAAGGACTTCAGTAGTAGGGCATGGAGTTAGGTCACAGGCTAAATGGCTTGTGCCCCTTGGCATCTATGACCCTCCCCCAAGATACTTTCTTCATGCAAGGGTCTTACAGGGAATGTTGGGAGTACTAAGTTTTCTTATTTTTAGAAATTCCAGGGGTTGGCACAGTGGCACAGAGGTTAAGTTTGCACATCCCGCTTCAACTGCCCAGGGTTTGCCGGTTCGCATCCCAGGTGCAGACCTACGCACTGCTTGTCAAACCATGCTGTGGCAGGCGTCTCACATATAAAATAGAGGAAAATGGGCATGGATGTTGGCTCGGGGCCAGTCTTCCTCAGCAAAAAAGAGGAGGATTGGCAGCAGATGTTAGCTCAGGGCTAATCTTCCTCAAAAAAAAAAAAAAAAAAAAGCCATGTGTGTTATTCTTTTGAGATGAGTCGTTTTCAGGACATGGTGATTTTAATACAAAATTGGAAGTTTTTTCCCTGCCTTGCTTCTCCTAAGAACATTCAGTACTGTACGGATACAAAAACATTAAGTGCCCACCAAACAGATAATTTGTTGTTGCTTTTCTAAAATATGTAAATTCCCATTTAGACTATTTACAGAATATTCAAGGTAACTCACGGGAGTTTAATAAGAAGCATGTCGGCAAGATAGAGGGTGTGGGTAGGGCCTCATAGAGCAAGTAAGTTTAACCGGATCCCAGAGTCTGGGTCTTAGCTTTGCAGGTCCAAAAGCCTGCATCTGTAGATGACTCTCAGAGATCCTAAGAAATCCAAAGAGCTTGGTAGTTTTGGTTGTGAAGCCAGGTTACTGGGGTTGATTCCTGGCTCTACACTTAAAGGCCTGTAGGACCCTGGGCAACTGTTTAGCCTCTCTATACTTATTTCCCTCATCTGTGGATTGTGAAGCTTGTGTGAGCCAGTACCCACAGACGACTTAGAGTAATGCCTGCCTGGAATATAAAAGATGCATATTGTGTTGATACCAGTTTATGATAAGGATGTTCCTCTCCAGAAACTAGTGTTCCTGTCTCTGCTCTCCCCTTTCCTGCTGTCACTTTTCCTGAGAATTGAATCCTTGTTCAGAAGATTACTTGGTACTTATGAATTGAACAGAGTAGCTTAAGGAATATTTCCTACCGGGTGTGGCCCTGTCTTTCAGCAGACCTGATTGTTTCTCTATGCCAGAGGTATCTCTTCCCTCATTACAGCTGTTCATTACTGAAACTTTCCTCACTCCCTGCTTTCCCACTGAAATCCATTTTTTGGATATTTAGATGTTGGCCAGCCCTGTTCATTAATGCCCTTTCACTGGCTTAGTATATTACTTATAAAGTTTCAAATAGTTTTGCAGTTTTCTTAGGCTAGGAAGATAGTAGTACTTCTCACTATGGTGTGTTAGTGTCACATAAATAGAAGCAGTCATAGCTTCATGTTCTTGATGGATGGGGGAGCATCTTGCTGTTGCTTATCACGGGCAGTAAAGGAGCATGAATATACCTCCTCAGTTTCCCTGGGAAACTAGGTTGTGCCTTTAAAAATATAAAATACCAGAAGTGTACAATATTAGCTGTGTACTTTAGCTACATGAATTGTGACACAAGTCCTGGTTCTAAGTGCTGTGAAAACTAAAACTTAATCACCAAGATACAAAATAAAAACTAGGGAGGCAAGTTAATGTAACTCAGTTAACAATAGCATTGAAGACTGCTGTCTTGTGAAGAAAGCTTTGCCCTCTAAAATTTTAGTTAAGGACTGACTATGCCCTTCTCTGACAAAAGTTGGGGGGATATATCAGTAATATCTGTCTCGTGTCATGGATTTTATTACGGAATTATTTTAAGCTACTTAATGCTTTATAGCTAACAAAGTACTTTCACACGTCTTCTGAATTTCTTAAATCCCTAGAGGTGGACCAGCCATTTTACCTCCAAAAATCAACAGAAAAGTTAAATGCCTGTGCTGAGGTCTAGCTAGCTGAAGCCTAGATCTTTCAGTTTGCACTAATGCTGTGCCCTTCTCCACAGCAGTACCCTTTCCTCTCCGGTAACTACGTGAGTCATGTGTTATTCGAATAAGAGGTTTAGCTTTGGTTAAACTGTAGGGAAGGATAGTGATGAATAAAAACCCCTAAACTGTAGTCATTCATATAAAGAGATGAGAGTAGCTCCTCCTTTAGAGAAGCATTTAAGAGATTCTAAAGAGAGAGATCATTAAACACTCCTTGGAGTGATTACAAAGAGAATTTAGCAAATTTTTTCTTTTTGTTACAGAGGTTCTTAGGAAGAATCACTTGGCAAAACCAGGCTGCTACTGGCAGCAGTTGCCTTCTGAAGACCATGAGCCTTGACTCTTGCAGGCGTGCGCTGTTGTTGAGGGCACTCGTCCTGCCGCGACAGTTGGTACCAAAGCCAACCTATGAGGGAAGCCACTGTGCTGCAGGTAGATAAGAGAGCAAGTGAGATTTAAACCAGGAGCAGCTCTTTATAGTTGTAGCCCCTTTGCAGTACTGCTTGGAGGATAACTCCAAAATTTGCAATAATAATGAAAAGAAGGATAGTTGCTGCTCGCTAATATGCCTCTATGCAAAATTGGATCTTCAGATACCAACTTGTTGGAAAAGAGTTAGTGACTTACACATTCTTGCTTGTTGCATTTTTTGTAGTTATGGTTTTTCCTTTGGATAATTCTTGGCAGAGATAATTCATAGGGGTATAACTCCAAAAAAATTTGGAGAAAGGACCCAGAATAATGCAATCATTGTTGGTTTGAAACTGAGCCACCTGGAATTTCAGAGTGTGAATTAATTATTGTATATTATATTTTTCAGCTTTATGTATTCCCTTATTTCTTTTTTCCTTTCCCTTCCATACTCCCACCGCCCCCCCGCAACACACACTATTCTAAGTTCTCTGGATTTTTGAGTGAAATGTGTGTGTAAGTGTTAGTTTATGTCTTCATCAAAATCATTTCCTATCTGGCAGGCTATTGTCCTTAGCAACAGCAGCAGAAACAAGCCCAGGGCTCAGTAATTGCAAGAAAAAAGAATAATCCTTTTTCATGAAGGGGCTAACTATTCTTCTTGCCTTTCCCTTTGCTACATAGTACCTACAAAATTGTTCAAATAGCAATTATTAATGTCTGTTCATTTCTACAATGGCATTCGTATGACAGCCTTCATATCAAGGCTGCTCTGACCAGAGTTTTAAATTTGTTTTTGTAAATTGCCTCATTAGAATATCATACATCCCAGGAGATAAATGCTCTCAAGATATGCATCCACTTAACTTTTCAACCCTAAGATTACATATTTGGCTGATACTTGTTAATTTAAAACCCACTCAACTTTTCACACCTGGGGAATTTGGAAAGAACAGTGCAGGAGTCATCCAAAATCAACACCACAATTTGATTTCTCTTTGAAAAAGATTAATGAAAAATGCAAACTAAAAGTCACTTTCAGTAAGTTTAGCAAAAGAGAATGATTTTGGTAGAAATAACTTTTTTGTGTAACCTTCAGTTTTCATATGACAGGATAACGTTTTCTCTTAAAACAGCACATGCATTGAAAACAAAAACTTGAGTGCTTGTGAAGAGAGACTTATTTTTTAGGTTGGTTTTTTTCTGAGGAAGATTAGCCCTGAGCTAACATCTGCCACCAATCCTCCTCTTTTTGCTGAGCAAGGCTGGCCCTGAGCTAACATCTGTGCTCTGAGCTAACATCCCTGCCCATCTTCCTCTATTTTATATGTGGGATGCCTACCACAGCATGGCTTGCCAAGCAGTGCCATGTCTACACCCTGGATTTGAACTGGCAAACCCTGGGCCGCCAAAGCAGAACGTGCACTCTTAACTGCTGTCCACCGGGCCGGCCTTGGAAAATCTAGTTTAAACTGGGGAGTTAGGGAAGACATCTGAGATGATGATTGATTAAGGAAGGATGAGCGGGAATTAATCTGATGAACAATGGGCGAGGAGGGAGAAATCTAAGTCCCAAGACAGGAATGAGCTTGTATCTGAGAAAGGCCTGAAAAATGGGGGAATGGCATTGATGCAGGCTCGGTGAGTCAAGGAGGTGAAAGAAAGATTTCTTGGACTCTCAAGGTCTGGTAGTAGTGCTCCTTTATTCAGAGAATAGCATGGAGTAGCACAGGGACAGGACCCATGGGCAGTAAAGAGCTGCAAACATGGGTTGAGGGTAGGGCTAAATTTCGAGACTTAGTTTTTAAATAAAGTTTGAGCGAGTATCCAGGAAATAGCAATGCAATTTAAAAACATTAGCCTTTTTGTAAAAGAATCGTGATGTGCCTGAAAATCAATACAACAGAAATCTAAGCAAATGCTTTATTAAAAAAGGCAGAGTCTAGATAAATATAACTAAAAAAAAAGTCTGAAATTGCTAGTCAAGGTCACATATCTAGAAGAATAAGCCTGTAGTGTCAGAGCTGGAGAGCATCGAGGTGAATCACTCATGCCTCGGATGGGACATGCGGCTGAGACTTAACCCCAGCTGCACACAAATACCAAGTATACTATCTTCCCATCCTCTCAGATGTTCAAAGCACTTTCAAGATAGAAAGTGTGTAGAGATTTTTGTCTTCTGGGGGAGAATAGCATACAGGTTGGGCATCTGGAGGGACGTGAGGGAAGATTGCAAATTACAGACTCTATTAGGAAAGGTAGCAGAATACCAAAGGTGAAGTTTCTGGACAGCCTTTAATTTACCTAGAGCCAGTTCTGGTCATGTGGTTCTTTTGTTGCAAGTTGTAATTATCTCCAGTAATGGAGACTGTTCAGTGGATACACACTTACTGTCATCCAGAAAAAGCAGAATGACCCCACATCAGGCGGAGCACAGCAGTCAGATGTTCACTTCAGTGCCTCCCCAATTCTTATGATCCAACCACCCCGTTACCAACGAACAGATGATCTCCCTGCGTCCACTGTGCTGATTATTACGAGGGCTAGGATTTCTATTGCAGAGTAGCACGTGGGAGACCGTGTCTGGAATTTAATGCCTCTTGGATATTATGCTAGAATTCAGAGTATTTTAGGAAAACACACTAACTAGAAAGATGAGGGAAGAGGAAAAAAGGAAACAGTGGTGAGGAATGGACCTTCTAATGTTTGTATTATAGTTAAAAGAGATAGCGATAAATTGTCAGGAATGTTCAATGTAAATGGTAAGAAAGGACTTCTGAAACAGAAGGGCAATCTATAAAGGGAGACTTGAATTAAATAATTAACTGTCTTAGCAAAATCTGGTAGTGTGGGGAAAGGAAAAGCATCCCAAAACCCTCTCCCTAGGGAGGACGGGGAAGGAGAAAAGGAAACGGGGAAATAATGGAAGTGTTCCAAAGGTCTTTTCATAGTCTGGGGGTGGGAAGGGGGGACCATGCCCCGGGGAAAGAAAGAAACAGTTGTTACCTGGTGTCTAACAATAGGAGAGAAGCGCATACTTGATTCTGAATTCAGGAAGGAGGAAATAATCCTCAGTGGGTGTGAACTAGAGTAGAACTTCCAGATTATCAAGGAGAAAAACCGAATTAATAGCAGCTTTATCTAATCAGCAAAACTAAGGAAAAGAAAAATGCAAGAAATATAGTAATATAAAATAAATAATAAAGTAAGATGGAGAAACATCTTGTATGCTTGCATGGAAAGATTTAATATCACAAAATATCATTTGTCATAAACATACACACTACAAAAGAAGGTTTTTTTTAGAAATTAGAAAATACATATAAATGAATGCCTGAGAGTAGCCAGAAAATATTTTGAAAAAAGGAAAACAAGGGAAATTTGTCCTCCTAGATATCAAGGAATGATATAAAACCATTTTAATTAAATCCTTGTGGTATTGACAATAATATAAATAAAATAGATAATGGAAAAGAATTAAGAATCCAGAACAGGGGCTGGGCCAGTGGCCAAGTGGTTAAGTTCACACCCTCTGCTTCGGTAGCCCAGGGTTTCGCCGGTTCAGTTTCTGGGCGCAGACATGGTACCGCTTGTCAGGCCGTGCTGAGGCGGCTTCCCACATAGCACAGCCAGAGGCACTCACAGTTAGAATATACAACTATGTGCTGGGGGTGCTTTGGGGAGAAGAAGAAGAAAAAAAAAAGATTGGCAACAGATGTTAGCTCAGGTACCAATCTTTAAAAAAAAGCAAAATCCAGAATAGATCCAGAAATAGATAAAGGAGATATATATCTGTATATCTATGTATCTGCCTCTGTCTGTATATCTACCTTTCTTGTGTAGGAAAAGGATGGATTATTTAATAAATAGAGCAAATATAGTTGGTTACCCACCTGAAAGGAAATGAAACTAAAACCCTATCAAGTATCCTGTACATAGAAATATATAACTAGGGGCCTGCCCGGTGGCACAGCAGTTTAGTTCACACGTTCCACTTCTCGGCAGCCCGGGGTTTGCCGGTTCAGATACTGGGTGCGGGACATGGCACTGCTTGGCAAGCCATGCTGTGGTAGACATCCCACGTATGAAGTCAAGGAAGATGGGCACAGATGTTAGCTCAGGGCCAGTCTTCTTCAGTGAAAAGAGGAGGATTGGCAGCAGTTAGCTCAGGGCTAATCTTCCTCAAAAAAAAAAGAAAAGAAATATATAACTATAAAAAATTCACATACTTAGTCTGGCGCAAGTTACCATAAAGTTAAAGGATAAATAATAGAATTGAAAACCACTTGCAATGTGAAGGACAGATAGAGGGCTAATATCTATAATATACATACAGCTTTTCCAATTTGCCAAGCAGGAAGAAAAAATACTCAATGACACTTGTTAAAGATGGCAAGGCAGGCTTTAGTCAGGACCATCGAGATAAGTATAGGGGGCCACTGCAATGGGATTTTACAGTGAGGGAGGGAGGTTGGGCTCACCTCTGAAAACAGCATGGGCATGTGGGAACTTACAGCCAAGGAGCTTGGAGGGGCAAGGAGGTGGAGTGGATGGAAAGTTACTAGGAGGAAACGTCAAAGGTCAGGAGGAGTCTGGTTAAACCGAACTGGCAGGATCTTGCTGAAAACAGGCCAGGATAACCAGGCATCACCTGGGGATGGTGGAAGATGAGGAACCTGAGCAGATACTGAGGGTGGAGGAGTCTTGCTAAAACTAGATTTTACAACAAAGTGCACAGATGGGCCTAGGAGAAGGTTCAGGAGCCTGACTAAACTTTTGGTCAAGCAAAGAATCATCGTGAGAAGTAATCCAAAAAAAATGGCAAAAAGGATTAAGAATGTGAAGAGGCAATTTATAGAAGAGCAAATCTAAATGACCAACCTGCGTATAAAAAGATTCTCCAGTTCAGTGAAAGTCTAGGAAGTACAAATTAAAGTAACAGTAAGATGATTTTACATTTATTGACTGGTGTTAGCACTGGGTGTTAACACCAATTGATGACGAGAATATAGGGAAAGGGTACTCAAAGGTTGTTGAAAATAGTTTGTTAGAACATGTATGGAAAGAAATTGGATAAGATAAAATTAAAGTGTACATATACTTCAACCCAGAAATCCCCCTCTTGGAAATGTAACTTACAGAAAAAAAATCCATGTTCTATAAAAATACATGTACAAGAATAGTTGTTGGAGCCTGGCTTTGGGTGGCATAAACCTGGAATGCACATCATCATCAGAGTGTTGCATATACACCATGAAATGTTGTGCAGCCTTGAAAGGGGGTGAATTTAAGCCAAGTGAAGAATTTGTATGAGATGGTGTTAAGTGCAAAAAAAAGACGCTGTGGAGAGTATAATATGAAAATGTTTTTAAAAAGATAAGAACCCTATGTCTCTTTGTGTGTATGTACTCTGTGTGATTGTTTATGTGTATATATGTACTCTGTGTGCGATTATGTGTATATATATATGTACTCTGTGTGTGTGGTTATGTGTATATATGTACTCTGTGTGTGGTTATGTGTACATATGTACTGCATGTGTGTGCGATTATGTGTATATATATGTACTCTGTGTGCAGTTGTTTTTGTGTGTATATGTACTCTGTGTGTGATTGTTTATGTGTGTATATGTACTCTGTGTGTGTCGTTATGTGTATATATGTACTCTGTGTGCGATTACGTGTATATATATATGTACTCTGTGTGTGTGGTTATGTGTATATATGTACTCTGTGTGTGTGGTTATGTGTATATGTACTCTGTGTGTGTGGTTATGTGTATATATGTACTCTGTGTGTGTGTGGTTATGTATATATATGTACTCCATGTGTTTGTGATTGTTCAGACATGAAGAAAATACAAATGGTGCACACCACGCTTTTTGTTCACGTGAGTTATCTATAGTGGGCTGATTTGCATGAAGAGGAGGAGAGGTGGAAGGAGGAGAGAGGTAAAGGTGTACCATAAAGCAAAATGAGACTACTAAAAGTCAGTCGAATATGTATTATGATCACTTTTAGGGACTTATGTAATATTTATATATTTGTATAATATATATATCTGTAAATCTAAAAATAACAAGTAATGCAGGGAAGAACATCACAGAAGTCTTCCTCTTTGAAGCTAGGGGCACCTTTCCGCTATTAATCATTAACACCAGGCCAGCCTCAGGGATCTTGAATCCGTAATGTTCTGCACAACGCATCTTTCCTGAAACTCACTAGTGTTTGTGTTCTGGAAGCGTAAGCTGACATCACATGAATGAAGGGTCTAAAGGACTCAAAACGTGAAGTTTCCGCTCTCCTCTTCACCAGTCACTGCAGTTTCCACTTCTCAGCCTCAGATTTCTTCCTCTGTCACCAAGCCACCAATCCCTGGGGAAGTATCAATTCCTACTTAACTCCCAAACTCAGCCCCATTGTTGAGGCTCCCACTTCACAATCCTGGACCCACAATGGCAGAAGGGGGCCATGCAAAGAAATAAAGAAAAATTTTGTTTCAAGTTGGAATTTGTATTATGGTTTCCCATAGAAACATTTTATAAATTTCGTTAAAGGCTTTCTAATACAATTTCTGTTAGAGTTCAGGTAGTATTAGGCATTGTCAGCTTTTGAGGACGTCTGGGAGAATAACCACCAGCTGTAATCCCGTTTCTAATGGAAAATACAGTGTATTGCACACAAAAGAAACAACTTACAAATTAACTTTGTGGAAATAAGCTGTTTGTAAATTGGGGATGATCTTAGTGAAAGAATTTTATAAACTGTAAAGCTCACGTACAAATGTTAAACAGGAGTGTGATCCGACTTCAACTTGGTGGTGGACGTGGCTGTTGTGGTGGACTAGAGTCATCTTCCTTTGATGCCCCCACTGCCTGTGAGAGCATCCTGGTCCCCTGTCCTAGCCAGAGTGAGCAGCCTTCCCCGTCCAGAGCCTCCTCTGCAGTCCAGCTTGCTTCAGACTCAGTTATCACAGTTGTGATGCTTGTTTCTGCAGCTGGACTCACCTCTGAGTTTTTACCTGTATTTCCAGCCTAAATTGGAACCACAGATTATAAGAAGGTGGAAAAGAAAGTGAACATTTATTGAGCATCTACCACGTGCCAAATTGTGTAATCATTACAATAACTATGAAGCAGGCATTCCCGGTGAGGAATGGGCTTTCACAAGCTTCAGTAATTTTCCTCGCCTAGTATCAAGTAAGAAGTGGAGCTAGTTTTTAAAATATGGATAATAATTTATTCATTTTTAAGTTTTATTTAAGTGTAACATATACACTAAACAGTTCACAAATCAGAAGTGTTTGTTGTTGACTTTTCACAAAGTGAACACACTGTGTAACCAGCCTCCAGATCAGAAAGCAGAAGCCACCCTGTGCGTGCTTTCACTCACTGTCCCCTCCTCGAGGTAACCGCTCTTCCGACTCCCGCACTTGACAGTAGAGTAGTTTAGATTACGTTAGTTTTGATTGTGGGAATCGTAGTGTATGTACTCCTCCATGTCTGGGTCTGTCTTTCAGCACTACGTCTGGGCAATTCACTGGCCCTGTTACATGCGGTTGTAGTTTGCTCATTCTCATCACTGTACTGTTCCACTGTGTGGATGTACCACAGTCTGCTTATCCATTCTACTGTTAATGGACATTTAGGTGATTTCCAGCTTTTAGCTATCATGAGCAGTACTGCTGTGAACATTCTTGTACATATATCTTTAGTGCACAAACGTACACATTTCTGTTGGATATGTACTTAGGACTGTAATTGCCATGTCATAGAATTTGCATTAGAAATCTTGAATCTTTTATGTTCTTTTAAGTGCCAAACAGTTTTCCAAAGTGGTTACACCAATGGCACTCACCAGCAGCCTGCGGGAATTCGACAGTCCACAGCCTCGCTGACAGAGACACCTTTGAAAACAGGTTTCTGACTCTAAAAGCCAATGCTCTTTTCCTTTCATCTAAACTTTATTTAAAGGTAAGAGCTTGGTAACGGTTTTCTCTTATAAATTCCATGATTCTTTCTAAGATTTTTATTCTTTGTCTATTAAGTGAGTTTCCTTTTTTATACTGGAAAATATATCTGTGCTGAACAGAATTTAGTAGGGTTAGCAGGGTTTCGGAGGCCTCATGTAAGTATTCGTATGAACCCAGCCTCTTCTATTTTTTCTGCATGGGTGAAAAGAATGGCAGTGTAATTCTTCCAAGCATGTCCCAGAAGTTCCTGAAGGAGAGAAGAAGTTCAATGGCTATTTGCCTTGGAGTATATTCCTCAAAAATGACCAAAGGAGTTATCGCCCAACATAGGACCATCAACAGATCTGTATGTCATTATGTTTCTAAAAGCTGTTACATGTAATGGGAAGTGAAGATGGGATCAAATTATGTAAGCAAATGGAGAGAGCTGGGGGAACTTTCTAAAAAAAGGCTTTAGTTGTCCATTTTATTTTGCTGTTATAATTCATGTATACACAACCTCAAAACTACATATTATCAATGCTGCATATTGATACTGATATAATTACATTTACAACGTTTGGCAGTCATTTATATTTGCCTGTCGGCCTGAATCTGTTGGAACCACTGAATTCCTTTAAGACGGAGGACCTTGGCCAAGGGAATTGTCATATCATTTTTGTAGGAGTGTTGTGTTATCATCATTATCAAAAGCATTTTCTAAGGATTTATCATTACATAATCTGGTTACAATCTATTGATTACTCAGATGGCATGTAATGGAAAAGCTTAGATCAAAATACATTTGGTGATTTGGAACAACTACAAAATAGCACTGTGATTCGCATCCTCTTCACCTCACATGCCTAGAATCAAACCCAGTTTATTGGATGGCTTCCTCTAATGTGGTTGAGAAACACTGAAGGCACCTCAGAACTGACTTTATTTAGAAACAAGGTCATTGCAGTTGTAATTAGTTAAGATAAGGTCATAGGGTGGGCCTTTAATCCAATATCACTGGTATCCTTATAAAACAGCAAAATTTGGACAAAGACATGAATACAGGGAGAATGCCATGTGAACATAAAGACGGCCGTCCACAAGCCAAGGAGAGAATCCTTGGACAGATCCTTCACTCATAGCCCTCAGAAGGAACCAACCCTGCTAACGTTATTTCAGACTTCTAGCCTCCAGAACTGAGAGACAATAAATTTCTGTTGCGTAAGCCACCCAGTTAGTGGTACTTTGTTTCGGCAGCCCTATCAAATTAATAAAAATGGTAGAAAAAGTTAATAAAGTGTTAAATATATCAGACTAGGTCGTGGAAATAAAAAGATTCCTGGGGGCCTGGCCTGGTGGCATGGTGGTTATGTTGGCAGGCTCTATTTCTGCCGCCCAGTGTTTGCCGGTTTGGATCCTGGGTGCGGATCTAGCACTGCTTATCAAGCCACCCTGTGGCAGGCGTCCCACATATAAAGTAGAGGAAGATAGCACAGATGTTAGCTCAGGGCCAGGCTTCCTCAGCAAAAAGAGGATTGCGGGTAGATGTTAGCTCAGGGCTAATCCTCCTCCTCCTGAAAAAAAAACATTGCTCGGCCATTTACAGCAGAATCACTTGGGATACTTGGTAAAAATGCATCAGAATCTTGAGGGATGAAGCCTGGGAATTAGAATTTTGAAAACCAGTCTAGGTGGTTATTACTGCTGCAAATGTTTATTGAAGGTCTACTTTGTCCCAGGGACAGAGTGGACAAGACAGGTACGTTCCCTGTTTATGTCTAGTGGAGATTCCTGTGTCCTAACTAAACTGAGACGGGGAAGGGGGAGGGCCAGACAGGAAAGCATCCTTTCAGTTTGTTGTAATTGCTCGTGTGGTGATAGAAAATATATTGGAGCTACAGAGGCTGACATTTAGCCTGGTTTTGGGTGGGGGTAAAGGGCGGGGTCAGGAAAAGTTTCTGGCATGTGATGACGTCTTGAGCATAGGTATTGACACGGGAATTGTAGGGCAGTAAAGACCTACCAAGTAAAGAGAGTGATTGAGCATGATTGGGGACTGTGTAGTCTTGGGGTTTTAGTCTATACAAACACAACTATTGATCCCTCATCACTCCTGTCTCTGGAAACTTCTCAAGTTTAGAGCCGGACCTATTATTCACCCAGTACATTATTGAAGTGTTCATATTGATTGTCATAATGAAATGTTTAATACAAGTTATTAAATAGCTACCACCCTTAACCTCTTGAGTACGACTCCCAGACCTGGCCTGTGGGTATTGGTTGATGCATAAGCCATATTTGTGAGTAAATATTTTTAAAACATCACCATAACAAAAATTCATGCTAAATAAACTGTTTGGCTCAAGTGGTCGTTTCCTGAGTTATATATTATAACATAGAATTCTTCTCTTGCTGGGTTAGTACTTATTGCATTAAATGGTATAACTTTCACAGTGTGTGTTCAGTTCCTGTTTTCTGTATTGTAATATTAAAATGTTCCGTCTTTGTCTCCACCAGACATTTCCTATACTTTGCACCATAATATCATTCAGGGAAAATAAGTTAAAGCACCCAAGGATAATGGATTTGTAAGCTCGACACCACTTACGAGTCCATGTATTCAGCCACTGGGAAGTTTTTACATGTTGATAATTATTTATGAAAGGATGCTCATGCCCTAAACTGTGAGAGAAATTGCACTTTTGAATTACTGCCAAAAATAGAAGGGAATGGTTGATTTAGCTTATAATCTTTAGATTGATTTCTGGCTGGAAAATAGTTGAATATTTGAAAGTAGTGTCACTTGGTGTATAGTCATCATGTTAGTGGCCAAACACGTTCTCTGTGGACCTAGAGCAAGAATAGTCACAGTTGATTGATACCTCACATAAAAATCCGAGAGCAAGATAAGTTAATGTAAGTTATCTGGTGTTAATAATTTAAATATACTACTAAGCTGGAAGGAAATTTTACAATCAATCATGAATTGTTTGGTTTCAGAGTGCTAATGGGTATGAGGCCATCTAGTCCTTTTGGGACAACTAGTTAGGATATAAACTTTGTTTTCCAGGAATTATGTTCATTTTCCCAGGACCTCACCAGCCCTGCCCCATTTGTTTGTGGTTGATGAAATCATAGCATCTGGACTTTTTAGGGGGAAACTTTTAAAAAAGCCAACTATTACATCAACTGAGAAAAAATTATCATGAAACAGGAGGACAATAAGGACCATTCTTTATATTTTGTGCTATTCCCTTACTCTCATCCCACTTAAAGCACCACATTTTCCTTCTCAGAGAGCCAAAGCTGAATGATAAGACCTCGTCAGATCAGATTCAGAGGATATTCAACCTTAGAGATCATCTGTCCGAATCGCATTATTTTACAGATGAGGATATGGGGGCCTTGTGATATTAAACGGCTTGGCCAAAGCCGCACAGCCAATTGTTGGCAGGCCTGGGCCTGTAACAGAGGTCCCCTGACTGCCAGGCCATATCCTTCCTGCTAAACTGGGCTTCTCAGTTTACCCTTCTAAGCCAGTGAATTTTCTTCCCCGATTTTCTTCTAAATTAATAAGGAAGTTCTTAGAGTTATAAATCAGGGCCGTGTAATTTTGATTTCACTCTTACTTTCTTCTGAAGCCTATCAAGATAATCCCAAAGAAGGCTACAAATAATATGTCTTAATTTTAGGATAAGATAAATACTATCAATAAAATCAAAATGAGCGTAGCTAACGCTTATCGTGCACTTGCCATGTGCCAGTGTCTGAGTTAATTTACTATTATGTTAATATGACATTAATCCCAAATGTAACCCAGTAAAGTAGACACTGTTATCTTCCCAATTTACAATTGAAGAGATAAGTTTAGAGAAGTTAGTTGCCCAAGGTTGCAAAGCAAGCAAGTGGCTCCAGAGCAACTTGAACAGACATATGACTTACTCCGGCCCCCACACTCTAACCTCTGTAACATCCAGAAGTTCATTCAAACAAGTCCTCGTCATAGCCTGGGTAGTGACAACAACAATGAAAACCGTAATAATAACGGTAATTTTCTGTGAACCTACTATAAGTCAGGCACAATGCCAGGCACATTACATTTATTAAATATAACCTTCTGAACTTTCTAACATAGATAAAATTATCCCTGTGTTATAACTGAGGAACCGAAGCCAAGGAAGTCTTAGTAACATTTGTAGTCATATGCCTAGAATTGTAACAAGGCTTATTTTTCAGCTAAATTTTGTGGAACCGCTAAGCCCATGATCTTTGGTATTTTCAGGCCTGGAATTGGCTTTTCTGAGCCTTTTGTATACACACTCAACTGTGACATCAACAGTCAAGTTATTCATTCTAAATCAGGAATACCTGCTTGAAGCCTGACTGTTACAGTAATGGTACATGATACTATGATGGTGGAAGGATACGGACTTTACCCAGTTCCTGGGTTCAATTCCTAGTGCAGTTTGGTTGCTTGGTAGCCCTTGCCTTAGGGTGACTTTATTACATCTGCTCTTATCCATTATTCATGAATTTTTAAAAAATATTCAAATGATATTCAGACGAATCACTCCCTTTGTTTCCCAATTTTGGGGAGATGACTCACTGACATCTCCACCATCTTGCTGTAAATTAATGAAGACCTAACACAAATCAAGAAAAAGGGAGTGTTTGAGGAGATGTTCCAGTTGTCGCAGCTGGCAGCCTATAACCCCTCTGTAAAGTTTTAGAGCACAAACTGAGAGAGAGATTTATTGAGACAACAGGGAGGTGCAGGAAAGAAGAGGTCACTCCTCTGGCATCGGCCTGCAGAGTCCTTCCATGGCAGACATCAGTGCCCCAGAAAGGGGGAAGGAAAAGGGAGAAGGCAGCAGATGTTCTAGTCCCCATTTTGCATGAGTCAGGAAGAAAAAAATTGCAGGGTGTGCCTGGAACCAGAGGACCTTGACTCCTTGCTCCTCCCTAACAGCTGCTGGTCTTGTTGAATATTCAGACATTGTGCAGCTTCTCCAGTCTGTGAGCACACCCAGATGGCTGCCACCAGCATCTGAGGCACCTTCCGGAAGAAGGTCGCAAACGCCAGTCTGTGCTCGGACGACCTTCAACCAGAGATCCTGGTGGAAGCCAGACCAGGACTGCAGTGTCTTTCAAGGGTCGTGGGCCCCTCTGAGGACTACGAAGTCTTGGCTGCTGAGTTCTGGGAGACAGAAGTTCTTTATTCTCTAAAGAAATATTCTGGATCTGAGTTGTGCCCTCGCCCATCTGTCTCCCCTCCGCCTCCAACTCCTGAACTGGACGCTGTCGTAAGGAGGAGGCATCAGAGAAGCAGGCTGTATGCAGAGGCAGTTAGGAGCTCAGAGGCATGCAAGAGTCGAATTCACTTGTGCAAGAGAAGTTAGGGGCTTGCAAGATCATTCTACATCCTCAAACTGCAACAGTCTATTCTCAAAATACAGGTCTTTTAAAATACCCTTTTGACTCAGCATAGAGAAACATGGGGAGACATATGGAAAGAGTCAGGTTAGTTTTTGACAAATATTTGTTTATGCATTTACTAAACTACATCCATCTATAGCTTAAGCTAAATGTTTATTTAATAGCAGCTTTAAGTGAATCTTAAAAACTTTAAAAATTACACTGATGGAATGGCTGCAGATTCCCCCACTTGATTTCTACCAGAAATATCGTTTGAACTGCGGGCTTTAATAGTTTGGGGAGGTCTATGGGCTTTCTTAGATTCCACATTGTTTCTTAATTGCAATCATCTCCTCTTCTTTGCTTTTGTACAGCATGTGCTTGATTTTTCAGGAGTTGGATTGTGAGGATTATTTTTTATACTCTTGTCACCGTAATTTTTTCTGCTAGTTCCTTGTGATTACACCTGACTTTTTTTTTCATTTTTAGAAACGTGCACAGTTACTGCACAACAAAATGTTTGTCATATAGAACAATCTTATGCCTTTATGGGTTAAAGAAAAAAAAACTTTCTTTAAAGCGAAGTCCACTGGCTTTCTAAGTGTAACATCCTACGTCAGCATGATCAGAGATTGGACCAAAAGAAGCGTAGCATTTATACATATGCTTCTGGAATGAAGAATGCCTGCTCTTGTCTCTCCACGTAGTTACCTGTGAACTTTCCGGTCAAGATGAGTTCTCTGAGCTCAGTGACTTAACGAGCCTACTGAGTAATACTAGTCAAGTCCACCAGTTAAATTTGAGTGGCCCAAGAAGAGAGAATGAAGAGACTGATTGGAATGCAGCGGTTGATGAGCAGCTCCCAGGAACTGTTGGTTGTCCCTGGGCCTTGCTTGTACACGTATGTGTACTGTATGCAGGCATGACTCCCTCCTCTCCTAGGTGTGGCCGTACCCAGGACCCCTCCCCTCTCCCCAGCTCCTCTCTGAGACTGGCTGAATAAGCCTCCAACTTAGCAACTCATAATAAATGAACAAACAGACAGGGATGGGCCACTAGGCAAAGGTGCCACGTCTTATTTGTATTCACCTGGGGTCCCTGTGCTCTTCTCATGGCTGGAACCCAGCAGTTACTGACCCTACAGATGATAAGGCAAGCAAAGCACCTGAATTTCCTGATTTCTTTCCTCTCCATAAAGCACAGGTCTCCCTGAATTTTGTCCATGACGTAGGTCTGAGAGAGGCCTCCTTCCCCTGGTCACACCTTACACTACATGGCACTTAATGCGTCGCCTTACACGTGTTTACCTGTTTGTCTCTTCTACACTGCAAGCTTTTGAAGGACAGGGATCATGTGACTCGCCCATCATTAAGCCCTTGCAGGTACTCAACACTGTGTTCACGCTGGAATCAGTGAATGAATGCCCAGTTGTTGGTGAACTAAGAGCTCGTCCCCTTGATGTTGAATGGATACAAGTCATTATTTCAGTTCAGTGGTTCTGAAACTTGACTGTTTTTAAGAATTATGTGGAAAGTTTATGCAAATCAGACATGCAGGCTCCACTCGAGATCCTCTTTAGTAGGGCCTGGATGAATCTGTGTTTTTAACACCAGCACAGTTGATTCTGATGCAGGTAGTCTGGGGACCACATTTTCAAATTTACTCAGGTTTATGGTTCTTAGGGGTTTGAGACTTAGTTAGCCTCTGAAGTTTAGGATCTCATGTTTTTTTTCTATGACCCAGTTGTAAAATGACTGACTGAATTCTTCTAAAGGAAATTGTAAAAATGACTCTTAGGGGGAAGATCAAGTAATTTTTACTGACTGTTTCTATGTGAGTAGCACTTGTTTTAAACATGCTTTAAACTACTCTTTTGACTAGTTTTTCATAGTTGTTGTTAGGGTAACATCCTTCGAATGGGAATAATGGCATTAGTGTAATCGCCTCTTTGTGTTATCTGGACCATCTGGACAGGGGAAGATGCTTCCTCTTCAGAGAAAGGCACATCTGCTCTCTGGACCAGCAGTGCGAGATGGAGACCCTCTTGCCCGTAGTGATGTGCCAGGGCCTCCTTGACCTCCTATGTCACATGCCTCTTGCTCAGCCTGCTGTGCAGATAACCTGGAGTGTCCAGCACCTGGACCTGCAGGGTCACCTCTTGCCCCTCTCGACGCATGAAGCTGTGGAGGTGACCACTGCGGCCCAGACTACAGTCTTTGGTCACAGAACACAGAGAAAGCCACTATGGAAGTCAGTGCTTCCCAGAAGAACGTTCCTGGCAAAACTTTTTCCACTCTGAGTCATGCCAAAGAGGGCCACATTGACGATCATCTTGCTGGAGTCCGTCATAGCTGCTGATGAACGGAGGCTCAGCATAAGCAGTCAGCCCTCTGTGCTCCCCCACTGCAAGCCTTCTCACCTGGACTGGAGCGTGCCACATCTTACCTGTGATGTGCTTTCCCCTCAGTCATAGGGACTTAAGCTGGAGGAATGCCCACTGAAGTGGAGATGCCCCAGTGCAGACAGAAGACTGAAGTAACAGTAGTAGTTTGCAGTGAGAGAGGAGAGAGAAGTCAAGTACAGATCAGGAAGGAAGGAGAAGGAAGCAATAATTGAAGGAAAATGGAAAAGAAAAAAGCCCAAATTACATGAAGATAAGGGAAACCATGTTTAGGAGGAATGTGTTAAGTCATCAAGGTGATGGGTGAGTTGGTTTAGGAATGGGTGCTGAGGTTTCTGAGTTCAGGACAAAGCTAGCAGCAGTGTTTGATATTATTCACTCTTGGAGAAGTAGGGGTTGAACAGTGGAAGAGAAAGCCCTTGCTGGATTTTAAACAACATCCCCACCTCCCGACCCCTGAATACACAAGTGGCACCTGCAAAAAATTGTCTTTCTTGATTTCCTGCATGCTTCTCTTCTATGAAACGAATAATGTTAAAGAAGACTTCTGTTTCTGTTTACTAAAAATATTTTTTTACGAGTATGCAACATTCTGATGGAAATAAGAGCTACTTGTAATTCCTGTTATGAGATAATTGGTAAATCATCCCCATGGTCCACTATAGTAAAGTACTGGCACTTTAATAAAGAAAGTGAAGCCCAACACGTTGTGCCACCTGGTTAGGATAGAGAACCTTGGGACACTCTGTTTCATTTACGACACTTCTAAAATATAATTAATCTTTTGTGCAGAACATAAGCCCCTTATAACATTCTAAGGTCATCAATCATTTTCATTAGATTGATAAGACAGAGCTACTGGCCAGTTGCCAAACGTGCTCAATCTGCTGATTCAGAAATAGAGACACTTGATATTGCACATTTATTATTTTTGCTTATAACTTATACTTCTATTATACAGTTTTATGTACCTCTGGCCTTTTCTGTCCTCTCATGACCCTCACCCAATCTCCCCAGACTCTAATATGAACACCTGGAGGGAAGTCCCACCCCCATACAAAAGACAGTCATTTTTGGGGTCCCTCAAGGTGACCCCAGCTCACCCAGTTCTTTCAGCTGTGTCGGCTGCACTACAGTCACCTGGGTTTCTTTTTACTTCTCAAATATGTAATTAAAAAAATTAATTATGGAATCCCAATCCATTTACTGTATGTCACGTAGCTTTTCCAATCGTAAAAATGCTCTCTCCACAAAGACTTCCCTGGAGCTGGCACAGTTGTTCTTTGGTATGAACTTGAACCTTCTGACGGTGTCGCCGTGCCACGCTGGGACCGGGACTGGGCGCTGTGACGGTGTCGCCGTGCCGTGCCGGGACCGGGACTGTGTGCTGTGACGGTGTTACTGTGCCGCACCAGGACCGGGACTGTGTGCTGTGACGGTGTCGCCGTGCCGCGCCGGGACCGGGACTGTGTGCTGTGACGGTGTCGCCGTGCCGCACCGGGACCGGGACTGTGTGCTGTGACGGTGTCGCCGTGCCGCGCCGGGACCGGGACTGTGTGCTGTGACGGTGTCGCCGTGCCGCGCCGGGACCGGGACTGTGTGCTGTGACGGTGTCGCCGTGCCATGCCCGGGACTGTGTGCTGTGACGGTGTTACTGTGCCGCGCCGGGACTGGGCGCTGTGACGGTGTCGCTGTGCCACGCCGGGACCGGGACTGTGTGCTGTGATGGTGTTGCTGTGCCGTGCCGGGACCGGGACTGTGTGCTGTGACGGTGTCACTGTGCCACGCCGGGACCAGGACTGTGTGCTGTGATGGTGTTGCTGTGCCGTGCTGGGACCAGGACTGGGCGCTGTGACGGTGTAGCTGTGCCGCACCGGGACCAGGACTGGGCACTGTGACGGTGTCGCTGTGCCGCGCCGGGACTGGGTGCTGTGACGGTGTCGCCGTGCCGCGCCGGGACTGGGACTGGGGGCTGTGACGGTGTCGCCGTGCCGCGCCGGGACTGGGACTGGGCGCTGTGACGGTGTCGCCGTGCCGCGCCGGGACTGGGACTGGGGGCTGTGACGGTGTCGCCGTGCCGCGCCGGGACTGGGACTGGGCGCTGTGACGGTGTCGCCGTGCCGCGCCGGGACTGGGACTGGGCGCTGTGACGGTGTCGCCGTGCCGCGCCGGGACTGGGACTGGGCGCTGTGACGGTGTCGCCGTGCCGCGCCGGGACTGGGACTGGGGGCTGTGACGGTGTCGCCGTGCCGCGCCGGGACCAGGACTGGGCACTGTGACGGTGTCGCTGTGCCGCGCCGGGACTGGGCACTGTGACGGTGTCGCTGTGCCGCGCCGGGACTGGGTGCTGTGACGGTGTCGCCGTGCCGCGCCGGGACTGGGACTGGGTGCTGTGACGGTGTCGCCGTGCCGCGCCGGGACTGGGACTGGGGGCTGTGACGGTGTCGCCGTGCCGCGCCGGGACTGGGACTGGGCGCTGTGACGGTGTCGCTGTGCCGCGCCGGGACTGGGACTGGGTGCTGTGACGGTGTCGCCGTGCCGCGCCGGGACTGGGACTGGGCGCTGTGACGGTGTCGCTGTGCCGCGCCGGGACTGGGTGCTGTGACGGTGTCGCCGTGCCGCGCCGGGACTGGGACTGGGGGCTGTGACGGTGTCGTTGTGCCGCGCCGGGACTGGGACTGTGTGTTTTCCATTGTAATTGGTGAGCACCATATCACGACTATAAGAAAAGTTTCAACAAATGGATATATAATATACATGCTATAAATAGAGGTTGACTTCATAACAGTATTCAGTTCATAAATTTAGAAATTCTCTAAAAAGCCTCTCTTGGCTATTTCCATGTAAGTGAAAGTGATTGTCTTATCCTAACTGATACAATCACTAGCGTGATTATATTGGCACATGCAGTTTCCATATCAATTAATGATAGCACATTTCAGAAAAGGAGTACAATTAACTATAACTTGAGGCTAAATAAATTTTTCTTAAAAATTGGGGTTTTATTTTATTAGTGAAAGCTTAAATTTGACTTTTCCACTTCTTAGTATATAACCCGTACTTTCCCAAATACTTTCTTAGTGTGTAAGATGTAGAAGCATCTTCTCCTGTGCCTCTCAAAAAGTCTGTGCGGTGTGTATTTCTGTGTGAAGCAATCTTGGAGACATCTAGAATGCCTTACGACTTCATGGGCAGAAAGTTAAAAAGTCTTCTTCCTGTGTGGATCTGACGAGGAAAACATGGACGGATTCATCCGTCTGACGAGCACATTTGGCTTTCTTGAAGGGATCGGAAGAACCTCCCCCAGGTGGCAGCAGCAGCCTGTTTCCTAAGAAGTGATTTTAAACCAGAATTTATTTTCATTTTCCTCCACAAACCGTAAACTGACGTTCTTCAACTAGGCAATCTACATCAACACTAGTTGTGTGAAAGATCTTTTGAATAAAGGCAAAAACTAAGCCTTCTTTCTCAAGTTCCATATAGAACGTGACAAGTATAGAAGGTCCTTAGTTTTCAAACCCTCCTCTTTGAAATCATAGTTTAAATCATTTGCTGAATGCAACAGTTGACAGATTAAAAAATAAGGTTCAGAGTTCATATGTGTGGTTAAATGTTCCAATGGGACTGCAAAATTTAAAATAATTTCCAACAGGTTTAATGGAGGTTTTAGACCTGAGTCAACTTAGAGGTCATGTGGAAGGGTAATGTATTGATGTTAGATGATGTTAAATGCGTGCTGTTAGTTCTTTTTGAATCAGGGTGAAAAAGAAACTTGAAAAATTACCTTCACTCTTTTCAGTAACTTGGCAAAATATATATAAGCAGGAATAAAACTATGTAACTTTATTGACTGGCTCCAGGATTTCTCTGAGAAAGAGAACTGTCTTTGTTTGAGAAAATAGTTTTATTAGCTACTTGAGGTAGAAAAGGGGATTCTGAGAACATAAGCCAAACTCGCAAAAAGTGGTAGCCAAACTGCTGGGTGAGGGGGAAGAGCCAAGGCAAGAGTAGAGGAGATTAGCGTATACAGAAGATGGGGGAGGGGTAGAAGAGGAGGGAGGGCAGGAGGGGAGAGGAGGAGAAGGAGAGAGAACAAGAACCAAACATTAGAACTTGGCAGGAGGCTGGGTCTCCCTCTTGTGGAAATGGCAAAGGGACTATGTTAGAGCAGAGAGAGCTAAGTTTCAATTTTAACTTCTTTGAATTTCTGGAATGTAAAGTTTGCTGCATTCACAATTAACTTGTAAGAAGTTGGATCTTTATTTTTGTTTTGTTTTTGGTGATTGTTAGCATTTTACTTTATTTTATTTTGATGGAAATTAATGGACAGAGCTGAGGTCCACCCTAAGTTAGCACAGGACAAGGACCACAAAAGTTGGAGACTGTGAAATTATATCTGAACTGAAGTAATTCAGGAAAGGCAGGAGGTTGAAGCCAGAAGGACACTAGTCCCTAGGAACTTGCAAGAATCTTTGGGAGGACCTTAGATTTTCCACAATCTGTGAGATGAGATGTTATGTGGTAAGGGTGACTCCAGATGACATGAGGAACAATTCTATTTCAAATTACACACACACACACACACTCACACACACACACACACACACACACTGGATTAGTGTGCTAGCACTCCTATAGCAAACTACCATAGACTGAGTGGTTTAAACAACAGAACTTAATTTTCTCACAGTTCAGGAGGCTGGAAGTCTGAGATGAGGGTGCCAGCGGGGTTGGTTTCTCCTGAGGACTCTCTCCTTGGCTTGTTGATGGCCGTCTTCTCCCTGTGTTCTTACGTGGTCTTTGCTCTGTGTGTCTGTGTCCAAATTTCCCCTTCTTATAAGAGCACCAGTTACAGTGGATTAGGGCCTACCATTATGACCTCATTTAACTTAATTACCTCTTTAAAGGCCCCATCCGCAAATACGGTCACATTCTGAGGTGCTAGGTGTTAGGACTTTAACATATGAATTTGGGG